GCATTCCCTAAGTCCACTGGACCACTTTAATGCAGCGCGGTGGTTTCTCCTTTTTGCGCCACGGTCCTGTTGGTGTGAACATACTTCACCATCAATCGGGACAAAGGGAAACGCTCTGCATGCACTGCTCAAGGCTTTGCATTTTTGTGTCATGCAACATTTGACTGCTGGACGTTTTCGCCAAGGCTCACCGCACCGAACGTAGAAACGACCCCCTCTTCCCATGCACAAAACTACACCTGATTACTCAACCGATCCCGTTTTGCTCCCCTGGAAGCACACCGTACGACATGCTCAAACACATCCGAGAACAACGGCAACGAACGTCTGAGTGTCTGCATGGCAATCTAGCACCACATCTGCATCTGGCTTTCATTTTCTGGCATTGTGCACATAGCAGTCAATACGCGTTGCAGTCATACGAACAGCTATATAGTATCACGCGAAATCCAGCTTCATGGCTAAGAATTGCTTGGCATACTGCGTGATTAGGCTCCGTGCGCTCACAAAACGCAAAACAATGTATCGTCTTGCACTAATACAAAGAGGCCTGCTGTAAAACCCACTTGCTGAGGAAGACACTTGGTAGGCAAAGCAATTACAACTTTCCCTTATTGTTACAATAAATTGTACAAACGCAGTCCCGTGGATGTTCATTCTCTACAACATGGCGCAGTCAGCAATACACGCACGCAAAAGGCTGAAAAGTCGCCCAGCCCGGCAAGCGTTGTCAACATCATCAGCGCCTTGCGAAAAACACAAAATGACGTTTACACAATTAATCCTTGTATCCACTTCACAACACCAGCAAAGACAATTATAAGTGCTGCACTTGACACTACACTCATGTTATTCACGACCTACCAGGTCAAACACTTCCCGGTGGGGCCTTCAAAAAAGGAGCCAACATACTTGCTGTTCTCGGCAGTAACCAAACGTTCCCATGCAGTGTACTCGAGTTTCTACATGTACTCTGGTATTCAATGTTGACTGCACTGAACTGGTGAATTCCCGCAGACTCGTTGCCGGCTCGTTGCGGACATCTTCCGATTGTCAACCGTGCTACGTGGTGCTGTATTTCCCCAACGAGCGTGGCACGCTCCAGCACAAGCAAAACATACTTCCTAAGATACAAGGAAACTAGTACTGGACAAAAGTAATATATCACGACCCTACCATCCCTTCACATGCAGGCGTGGTTCTCCTCAAACGGCGAAATAGAATATCTGAATACCCCAAAATATCCATAACCTGCCATTTGGACCTGCACTCCCGCAGGTGAAGCCGTCCCATGAATTCCGAACTCGACGTACTTCATAAAGTAACCGAGTCAAGAATCACACGTACAAGCTAAAGAGTGCCCAGGACAACATCACATCAATCTTGCAATCACTGCTTCACCTCCCCCGAGCTTGCAGTAAAACTTATTGATGGTAGAAATTCATGCTTATCGCTGTATATGATAGGTAAAATTAAGTGAACCTGTCCTGAGCGACGAGTAGTTGTTACGGTAACGTGAAACTACTGAGCCCGTGCCGCAGACAGGCTTACTTTCAAACTGGCAGCCTTTCTGGATGCCTTCATACTGCACAGGAGTGCAAACAGTGTTATTGAGAGTAGTGCAATCGTCATTTGACGCTTGCTAATAACTGGGTAGCGATTTTGCTCATGCCCTTCCTCTCGCTCAAATTGCTGCGCCGTGACTGCTGGCTGATCTAATTCAACCAAAGTCCCGGTCGAACTGGAGGGATCTTCATTTAAAGCTGATGTTGCCACACCCAGCAATGCCAGTAGAAGAAGAAATACAAGTTTTATCTCCTGCAGGAGAGAGCGGGGCAAGTTGCATTGCCCATTGTCCAAATTCCTGCCGCCGCGGAGAGACATGTTGCCCCAAATGCCTTATGTCTGCGGTGCCCGTAGAATCGTGATATTCTCGCATTCACTGAAATAGAAGCTTGCTGCTTCGAATATGCTGAACTCCTGGTGTGCAACAATGACCCTGCAATGACGGTTCCCCTCCGGGCTCTCCAGTACTGCTGATGGGCCACTACCACCGGATCTGTCTTCTATCCAGACTTCAGCTTACTTCCCTTGGCAGTAAAACTTGCTCCATAACTTTTTCTGAGCACGAAAAACTTTTGACTAAAGATAAAATGGGAGGAAGACAAGAGTTTGTAAATATCGCGTTGTCCTGCAATCAGCGATCACGATACCATCGGTTGCACACTGCAGGAACACTCTAATATGGAGCATGGTACACTACTTGGAGAATTACAAATATGCTCGAAAATGTCATTTTATAAGTTATTTGGTCTTCGCAGACTATTCCAGTGGGGGATCTTGGTGGGTCTACCCAGTAGGCAAGTAGGCAAAGGCGGGGGTCCAAGCATTAGTATTGAATCGAGAAAGGTTCTAATCCCTGATATGGCCGCGTGTATCTGGCACAATTAAATCTGCACGAACACTGCGAGGTTGTACGTGACTGTGGGTTGCAATTCATGACAAGCCACCTCTCCCGGTGCTTCAGGCGCTTGCACCTCTGTCTTCTACGTTACCTAGTGTCTAAGAAGAGACTTCTGCTGGTGTTATGGAGCTCCCACTGTAAGACTTCGGTTCCGTCACAGCTTCCAATGATCACGGGATATGATCGAGGGCAACAGTGGCGTGTGAGAGGAACAAACCTCACCCCAGAGCAGGTCCTGCAGCCGATTTTCACACAACTAAGGAGCTAAGGTCCTTCAAAAATATCTGTACACACAGTAAATTTTGTGAACTCCCTATTTTGTTAAATCACCACCTTCCTTAAAGAATGGATATTGAACAGGATCGGCCATCTGGTGGGGAGGCGACTAACGGCTACCAGCCTCGTCGAGTTGAAGCGCGCCTAACTTCTTCCTCTTATCCAAAGGAAAGTGTTTCTGCACTCAAACCACGAAAAGTGATCGTGCAACAGCCGACCACCCAAATGTGGCGGCTGCCAGGCAATATTTTTCTCTAACAAGCACAAAATGAACTGCAGTAGCTACTAGCTTCTTCGGTATTAGGAGGCACGACAATGGTGGCTATCTAAACAAGGGTAGTACTTTTCCAGAGCACATCGGGAATATGCACGATTTTCGTAGCGCATTGCCATACAGGCTTATTCCTAGGTCCCAAAGTAACAGGAAGCGGGAGAGTTGAGAAGTACTATGCAGGGCTAGCGAAAGTGGGCGACACTGAAAAGAATCAGTTAGTGGTCAACAGATGCGCAACGATGGGATCATAGCCTCTGAATAAGAGGCTTTTAGAAGAAGTAGCCCATGGAGGAAGGTAATTGATAACCATCTAGCTCCAAACCCAACCGCCTAAACCCTAAACTACTGAACCCTAAACACTAAAAATCCCTAAACCCTAAACCCTAGGCCCTAACCATAAAACCGTAACCCATAAAACTCTAAACCATTAGCCTTGTTTTCGTTGGCGCCGAAGCGCCACGCCTAAACCCTAAACCCTCGACCATAGTGTAGTGGAGCAAACGGCACGCAATAACTACTGTAAAACATTTTTAGAGAATAACCAGGGCCGTGTTGATATGGAAAGGTGAGTATTCTCTGAAGAATTTTTTAACAGGATCTTGTTTATCTTAGTATATGAGAAAAGTGCTCCTTTACTTCCCAGCCCTCCCTGTCGTTTTCAACACAGCGCTCTTCTATCATTTGCTGTCATCACCATGCCTGCAGACAGTTGGTTGATTATTTTGGTGGCTTTACATTCGTTTAACCATAGTATATCCTTCTTCCTAATGCACTGCAACTATTACAATGCATGATAACGAAAATTGCTGAGGCTTAACGTTTGTCTTGAATCGTGTTTGGAATGGGAAGTCTAACAAAAGAAATTGGACTGTCCTACAGTCCACACACTCTCTGGCTGCCTACCAAAGATATATCGCATCCGACCACCTCCTACCTCTCGTGAACACTTCGAATAAAACGCAAGTTTCAGAATCTGGCACCTGGGCTTGTTTCATGAACCCCACCATTCTGTTGACCTTGAAACAATCTAGCAGCAGCAGCCAATTCCCGTGTGGGGCCTTCGTGCGCTGTAGACAGTTTACTATATGAAGCTAGAAAATTTCTTTTATGCTTCAACTGTTTCGTTGTTAAGTAGTGTTCAGGGACTGCAAAGCGATCACCGCTGTGAAGAGCCCATCGGTAGACGCGCCGGAGCCAACGGGAGTGCGGGAAGATGAAGAGATTGGCCTGCCGGACGGAACTTCCGTATATCATGAAGCTTTTGTACTGCAAATATTTGTTGTTTTTCGTAAAATATATTTTGTCTAAAAGGAACACGCGTTGCAGCCCTGTCCATCGGCTGTGTCGGTGAGTGCAGCCAAATAGCGATTGCATTACACACCAATGGTTCGCCGCTGAAGGGTTCTGTCGTCCAACAGCGAGGCGTAAGCTTTTGGAATTCCGACAGCTTCTCAAATTCTTCTCAAAATATTCTTCTCTGTCTATTTGGAGTATCAGTTTCTTTTGTAATTTCTTGGGGCTACCCTCTGCCACCTCGTTCGACGCCGTCGGAGCCGCCGACGGGCCAACGACCGACCAGAGGGAAAACAGGGTGTCGACGGCATAAAACGAAGTAAGATTTATTTTTTCTCTGCAAGCAGTAAAAATTGCCCAACGGGTTGGTGTGCCACTCCGGATATTGTAAGGTTCCTGTGAATGTTTACGTTTCATCAAACAGCACCGATCGATTTCTGAAGCACTCGTTGGAATTCGACTGTTTATTTTCCAAGCTTAGAGTGTATTTTAACTTATTGTTCAATGTTAGTGTGGGTGTAAACTGCTCCCGAGTTTCCTTTGGCTACCCTGCTGCAATAGGTTGGGCCGCTGCCGGGCGCCACGTACACACAATCTCTGGGTAGATACAGGCTTGCGTATGCACGTTTGTGTGGTCTACTTGGCTTTTGCCTTCAGGTAAACTGTATCTGAAGCCCCGGTAAACAGAATAAAATGGCGGACGCGAAGCAGAAGTTGGCGCGCTTCACGAGTTGGTTGGGTTTGGCTTGTGGCGTGCTTTCCCTTGTCGTATTCTTCTTCCTAATGCCGGCGGTGTCACCGCGTGTTGTTGTGTACGACGAAAGTTTCACAAAGGATTACAACCGTTACACATGGAGGTTCGCTATGTTCTCGTTTGTGCCAGATGTGTTTGTTGACATATGGACTCCGTTTGTTATGGGCATGATCTCTATTATCTGCCACTTCGGGGAGTTCAGCTTCGACTGGATGTGCAGAACATATGGACACTTCTTTGTCTGGAACTTCGTAATGGCTCTCTTTGGACAGATCGGGTATTCGGGCATCATCGGCATCATCGCCAGCGCCTTCACGCTTCTTTGCACCCTGCTGAGTCTTATCTGTGCCTTCCTCGTCAAGGACCAAAGCGCGAAGCTGCAGATCACGCAGCAGAAATAGACGAATGATAGGTGAAGAACCAGAGGACGGACAGTAGACGAAATTAGAGGTGAATATGCAGCAACAACGAAGACAAGCGTGCCAGACATCCACTTCCCTCTGCGAAACGCCTCGATCCGTTCCCGCCACTTTTCGTCATGTGTGTTGCTGCTCTTTTTATATTGTATACTGTCAACAATTTATACTGTCTATAGCCGGCACATACCTGCGGCAATTTGTGAGCTGGATAGCTAGCCATCCAGTTTAGCAGGTATCCAGTAACTCAGGCAGTGAAGGCTCCTGCATTCCTGTCACTCTCTACCTCTCTGCAGCCGCACTTCGTCCTTCGCTGGAAGGTGCGTATGCGATTTGTTGTAACTCCAACTACCGCTGTCTATCCTAAAGGCGAAGTACTCACTTTCACCAATGCAAAGAGCATAAATACTGACACAACAACTCAGTTTAGGAAATTCTACATTCGGTTTAACTAAGCCCGTCCATACAAAGAGGAAAGCATTTAATAATTCAACTGCCCGTTTTCCATGGACTTGATGGCTGGCATAGCAGCACGTGCCTCTGCGCCATCTAAAAGCCCGAAACTCTTCAATGCACGCAATTGATGACTAACAACGATGTCAAAAGGGTGCTGCGTTTCCTCAAACGGAGCAGTTGCGAGTTTCGTGTTCTGCAGATTTCGCCTTTCATGCGATTTGCAGTGAAAAGCGAGGACTATCGTCCACCTGGCTGTTCGTTCGATTGCACTTCAATCTGTCTCTTTCGACCCGCTTTTCCATATTGGTTTCCGTGTACACCCCTCGGTATTTGCGTAAAGAAGCCTTCTGCACACGGGATACACCTATCTGAGTTGCAACGGTTCGCACTCTCACAACAGACTCCTTCTATTGTGCTTCTCTTAGTCCTTAAATCCATCGTATTTGTCATTCAATCTAACGTGATCGTCTCGTCACCCGCGTACATCTGCCGCCACTCCCGCGCTGCGCATACATAACGACCAAATAACACAGAAACAGCCATCTGCCAATTTTGTTGGCGTTGGCTAACGGCCTTACTACGACAATAACCTGCAGGGGGGTATGAAAATGAGGTACAATCGAGCAGACAGTAACAAACTGTTTTTATGACAAGAATGTGTGTAATGGTTCTTCTTAGACCCCCCACAACTGCATCTTTAAGTCGTCTACCGAGAGCAAAAGAAAGTCACGAGCCATAAGTTTCTCACTTCATTATTTTTCTGTCGGCACTCCGTCAATGAAGGCTGCAATCTTAAAACTACGCCCATGGCTGGTGGATTTACTCATCTATTTACTAACTATCTGGTCCTGCGCACCCTACACCTATCTATTCTGGTGCATGCCTTGGAGAAAATACAATTGCCACTACTTGATTCCCAATCCAAGCTGTGTTTCACAATCGGTCTATCGGCGTCTTGCATGCACCCCTCTTTCCATACAGTAGTGTATCGTTATATCTGTATCCCGTTCTCCCCTCGACATGTGTGTACCTCTTTCTTCTGCTGCTTGGCGATCATGTTTGAAATGGTCCGCCACTTTCGTGTCCAGGGGATCATCGGGTTCGGGAGCCGACAAGAGGGCCTGTACGGAGAGCAGCACCGTGCGAATCTGCAGTGCGGGGCTCCACTTGTCCTTTAAAATGTCTAGGCAAATGCGTCCCAGCGCATCCTGCTCGGGAAACAGCACGGATACACACCAGAAAAGCAGGCCCACGCCAATACTAACACGAAACAAAACACCTGTACCGACACAAATGGCATATGATGGTCCCCTGATGAATATGCGTACAAACTTACAGCTTCGTACAAACAAAATGTGACTAAGGTATATCACTACAACCTCTTCAGTCTGCTTTAGTCTACAAACGGTTCTCGCTCGTTCTGGACATGCACGGATAAAGCCCTTCCGGAAATGCACACTACCATGGGTCAGCACTAAGATCGGACGAGCTGCGAGAGAACGGGAACTCCTGGATCGATCGGCTGCCCCCTTGCGCGCTACCGTTTTACAGACTGAGCGGACGATCGTTTCATCTGTTCGGAGGCGACTAAATCAGATACTCCGTGCACATTAAAACGTATTAGCAATCCGTCCTTCGTGACTACCAAAATACTGAAGTATGCGCGAGATGTAATACTGAAGCACGAACACCTTGTCAACAAACCAACTACCACCTTTTGCAGACGCGGACAACCACACAATGCCTTGGATTTGACGGGGAACAGAAAGCTAACGTCCCATTCTTCATCTAGTGTGTTATTCCTACTAAATATTTCTCACAATATTCGGGTGGTAGATTTTCGTCAGGAAACGAACTTTGGGGGGCTCCATCGGGTACTGCTCCGGCAGAAACAGCTCAAGACGGTAGCGGCCGCCTGCGCGTAGACCCAACGCAATTTGCTGTATTAAAGAATTGGGCGTGGAGGCGAAACGCAGGGGGAGCAAATAATAAATCACTGAGGGTAGCAAAACCACGAAACCCCTCACCTTCGTAAGGGGTGCCAGCGGGCCCCGTCATTATAATTTTAAAATACCGGTAGTTGGAAGGGTCAGGGGCTGCCTCAATGCCAGGAGCTGCAAACCAGACGCCAATACGGGAAACGCAAACTTACTGTTACAAAAAAGAATCAGGGGGGGAGCACACAGAACGGGGAGTGAGAGAAATAAGGAGATACAAATGAAATGAAGGAGCGATGAATGCAGAAAAAGAATACACAAACGATAACTGACGGAATGCTGTCCACACAGAACAGGGAGGCACAAGCACCGGAAATAAGAAGGCATACTGCCAAAAAAAGAAGGCAAACAATCAGAATGCACCAAGGTGCATTCAAATCATAAAGACGGGAGATTCCGACTCAGTAAAATTGGGAACTGAAAACGCCTACGCAAGAACATGGCGTCTGGTGAGCATCTACGGCACCCCTGCGCCATTGTTTCTTTCCTTTTCACGCTTTACTACTAGTGCAATATATTAAATCATCCCTCTTATGCAATTTTATTCCTCCCTGTATATCTCCCCCCTTTCGATTCTTTACTCCCCTCGTTTTGGCCCTTTTTCCCTTTCACCCCCTTACGCTGTGTTTGCCATTTTCCCCCTAGCGCCAACTCGTCCAGTGTACCGTTCGTGCGTACAGAAAAAAAAAGCACGAAGATAAAGTTCACTCAGTTTGCTTACGGGGTTCGCTGGCGAGATTGTGTGTTTCTTTTTGAATGCGTTTAGGAACAAGCATCATACTGCTGCGCTGCCTTGGCCCGGCAGGGCACAGGTAGCACCTGTAGCGAAGTGAGGAGTTAAAATGGCAAGACAAAAAGAAAAAGGAGAAGGATGTTCGTAATTATGAGTCACAGGCAGAATGCAATCCCAGGCAGCCACAAAGGGCGATCGGATAAGCAAAAAACCAGCGGAAAGAACTAAATATTCCGCACTCCCCGATTCAGTAGGGGAACAGATGGTCAGTTTTCATGCTTATTTTCCCTTTTCGATGCAGATATCTATCTAACTGCACAGAACGATGAGCATTTGCGAATTACACAAAACGCCCTGCTCCTACCACAGCCCCCCAACGGTAGTGCCCGGCACTCCAATGGCGCCCGCGAATGGCAACGGGTAGCAAAACAAGGAGACTGTGAGGCGTTTAAGTTAAAGTAAGATATTTTAAGTGTTCTTAAGTGATATAATGCGTATAGAATAGAAAACTCTGTTGATGGTCAGGCCTGGAGTCTCAACAGTAAAGACAACAGCTGTAGCTGCTTGTAGCTAGCAGCCTCCGCGCACTTCGCACATCAAGCACAGTGGGGAGCCACTCTTCTGGCGTGTTAAACTAAATCCGTGGATAATTTTCAATAGTGAAACGAAGTCCAGGTGGTGCTTGGATGGTTCATGTGGGTCACTAAGGCTTGCAGAGACCTCTCGCGCCCCAGCGGTATTCTCGTTGCAAGTTTGGTTGTCTGCATTATGAAGCATGCCCTGTCTGAAGGTAGAACATGTATTTCTACTTGCAAAAAGATAGCTTTGTGCGGGCCGCGCAAGTGTTCAACCGTTGCCGATGGTTTGAATAAAGGGACCTGGTGTACTGTGCACACGTGGGTGTGGGGTTGTTGCCTCGTAACAGGAATTGTAGAAAGGAGTGTTGCAACTCAGGGCAGGTGCAGATCTACTCTCCAGACTAGCCCTAGTCGTATGCAGAAGGTGAAACTTGGGTGCTGGAAGAGAGACTACCAGCTTCTTTGAGATTTAATGTTCTGTTTCGTCCTTCTCACTTGACTCGGTGCAGCCTACGAGGGCAGGCTAATACGAAGCAGCACCCCTGTTGCGTCTGGTATTGCTGGACCATCGCTCTCTTGTAAGTCCCTTGAAAGCCTAATAAATTGCTCTCTTCTCTTATTTTGTCGTCGGGGCCAATTGTTCGTAACAATATCAGTACGGCAATATTGCGCTCATTCCGTTTCTCTCAACTTGCCAGACAAGAAGGCTACTCATACTCCCCCTCTACTTGTTCCCTTTCTGAAAGGCTACAGAGCCTAGTAGGGCGGTGCTCATCGCTGCACTAGGGGGGCGCGCTAACTGCAGTCACTAGACTGTAAATAGAGGGAAAAGCCTAGGTAATTGAGGTGTAGACAACGATGACTAGTGGCTCTCTATTGCCTTTTTTTACTTGTTCACTTCAGCTGGTATTACAGGCGGAAACGTTCATAAGTTCAGAAGAGCTGTCGGTGCTCTAAGTTGCCAAAAATGACAGTGAAGCTGCTTCTCTGTTACGCATGCCTTACCAATGCTCCCAGCAGGCCATTGGCTGCTAGGAGACGCCGACGACTGTTACGGCCTAAACACAATCCATTGTGCGCTTAGTGCTAAGTCCTCCAGGAATATAAAGAGGAAACATCCCACATGGTTAGTGCCAATGGTCTATGGTTCCCCATGACTCCATGCACCATTTGACCAAAAAAGTAGAGATGAGATAAATACACGTAGAATGTGTATAGCAATACATGAATAGATGCATCCTACACAGCAATAAATGCAGCTAATACCGATTAATTGCCTTGCAGACGCTGTATCTGAGAGCGATGCAGTACGACTGCAAGCGCTTCTGTCTTTGCGTATTTTATGTTTCAGTCTTCTTGTTTAGCATGGCTGCTTTTGTGTGTCTGTCTGTCGCTTTTCTCTGCACCTGCCCATAAAATAAGCCGGTGACACCCTGTTATGGCACAAGCGGCCTTCATCTTCTCGGGACCTTGGGAGCCTGCAGATCGAGCTTAGGGCACTGATTCGGCAATATGAAAGCACAAATGAGCGAAAGGAGTGCAGTGAGGAGAGAAAAGGCGCTGCAGACGATACCAATGCCACCGGAGTAGCCAATGTTGCCGAAGAGCGCCAAGACGAAGTTCCACAGAAAGAAGTGAATGTAGGTTTTGCACATCCAGTAGAAACCAAAGCCGTGGAAGTGGCACAAAATGGAGATCAACCCCATCACGAAGGGCGTCCAGACATCAAGAAAGACAGAGGGCGCAAAGGTAAACAATGCGTTGCGCCAGTAGGTTTTGTTTATGTCATTCAGCACGTCATCTGAGTCTACTTTGATCTTAGGGCTCAACGCGTTCAACAGAAAACACCACACTACTATGGTGAAGGCGCCCGTCAGCAGCCCCACCCAACTTGTTACCTTTCCCAATATCTGTTTGCCGTCTGCCATCTTCTGAGCCTGCAGACAAAGAAAAGACTCAAGAGCAAAAACCACAAATTCAAAGCTTGAACAACACTTTGTGTGGGCTCCCAGCTTTATTCGGTTAGGTGTATGTTGAGACACAAGGCAACACCACCAAGAATACGGAACGAAGCATATCAATGTAAAAAAAAATGCTGCGGCAGCAGATGTGGACAGGCGGCAAAAATAAGGGCTGGTACCAATACTGAGACAAAAACCAATGATGCTAGAAGGAGAGAAAACACAAATACAGCGAGGCAGTGGTGTTCGTATAGAAAGGTTGAGAGCTACAGCTGCACAGTATCACAGCCTACGAGGCTGGGCCACGGAAAAACAACACTAGTGCATCGGCTCAAGGCTTGCATTCACAGTGGAGCTAGACAGAAGTGCTTATCGTGAAATGGAAAAAAAGAAAAACAGAAGCAACATTTGTACATTCTAAGGTCTAAGTGTATACACGGTACGCGACAGTGAACTGCCTTGGGCTCGTGCACGGTTGCGGCTCTGCGTAATGCAAAGCTGCGAAGGAATATTACTGAGTTACATACATTAAGAACAACTAAGGAAGAGAACTGAAAAGGCGTGAAAAGGAGAGGAGAAATCACCCGCCCTGCCTCTGCCGCAGCAACGCGCTGCTTCAGCAACAGCAGACGTAGGCAGAAATGGGCTTACTTGTGATGAATTCCTATTTGCTTCGACTTCTTTGTGTTTCTTTTTCTATAGTTTGCACAGTTAATGAGAGATAAGAGAACGAGAAGAACCTCAGGAGCAGCTCATCCGTCTCTCTCTGTTTGTAGTAGCGGCCATGGTGGCCGCTGGTCAGCGGTCGTCCTGATCGCCTAACAAGTGAGTCGGTGCAGCCCTGCATCAGCTGTACCTTCCAAATTAATATATGACTTGCTCATAAAGATAAAACAGTTGAATCTTCAATTGCATCGACTAGACAAAAATGGGCTTTTCAGCTGTCCAATCCGTTTCTGTCATCTGCTTCCTTCCTCTATCGACCACAACCAGCAAACAATAACGCTGTTGGACCACGCAACCGCCAAACAGGAACGTGAACTATGTGAATAACATTTCATTTACATCATGTTCTAAAAAGCAAATAAGCAAACCAGAACATCCCATGTGGTAGGGTTTTTGCCTATTTGGGGTTTGTCTTGTTCTTTCGTTCTCCCACGCACCACTTCTACGATTGTCTCCAACAAGTGCCGCTGCAGTTCCTGGCTGTCTCATGCAAAAAAGACAAAACTCAAGACCATATTGCTTTCCTGCATACTTCTGTTTTAATGAAAGAAGCACTGAGGAATTAATGAGGTAAGGAAAGCAGAGAAAACGGAGCAGACATGCGAAACGCATGTTTGCAAATGTTGGAACACAAGCCATGAAATACTGTGAACCAAGCTGATAAACAATGTTCTATTGGTCTTATTAACTCTATACGTATTTAAATCCCGGAAGGTGTATCGAATTTGGCTCTGCAAGAGACAATAAACCGAGTCGTTTTTTCTAGTGAGCTTGCAAAGCAGCGACAACGCAAAATTGCCTGAACTATATCCGCGTATCCACCAGCTTGTTTTCTAGCGTTTGCTCGTCTTCTAAAAAGCCCTTCAGTTTAGAGTCAAGGGTTTACTGTTAATCCTTTCCGCCAAAAACACAAAACTACTCTTTGTTAGTTTGTCCCATTCGATTTAGCTCGAGTCGGAGGAGTCCGAGAACTCCTCTTCTGAAGACTCGACAACGGTCTTGACCTGTAGAAGCAAGCAAAATACAACTAATGAGAACAAGGACACCAAAGGAAGGAGACACTGTCCCAATAGGAAAATCTGAAGGACTGTTGCTACTGGTGGTTGTTGGTGCTGTACCTCCCGTGTGGCCAGGCGGAAGCTCTTGCGCTGTGGGGTTCGTTCCCGTTTGTAACTTTTGCCTTTCTTCGTGGACCTCCAGTCTCCAGGTTTAGCAGTGCTATGCCCAGCAGATACAGTAACTGGTCTGTCTTTGAGTGCTGATCGTTTTCCAGGTTCCACGTTGACTACTGCTGATTCTGCTCTTCGTGCTGCTGCTGCTGCAATGATGTTCCGTGCGCCGAACGAACCAAATATGTCCGCATCTGTCGTATGTGACGTTGCACTTGGTGCCCTGTTGCATGCAGCGACAATTAAAACTGAGTTGCAATGCTTGACATATATTCCAAGGAAAGCAGAAAACACATGTACAGAAGGAAGCAAAAGACGGTATAGACAAACCTATGAAGAAAGGAACGCTCTTCTTTCCGTTGAATTTTGTCTACTGCCGGCTGCAACAGACAAACAATGGAATGCTTCAAAATATGGACAAAATCAGTTGAGCTGAGCACGCAAAGAAAACCGAAGCTCGAACTTAGCCGGTCGCAGAGTTCTACTTAAATGCTTTTCAGCTCTAAAAAGGTACACCACTACACATTGTTTGATGTTTATACCATCTCATTCGTATTAGCAACTAACTACACTTTTTCATACCTTTCCAGAGTTGTATCGAATCCACACTGATACTTTTCGCGTCCCGAGCGGCATGCTTTCCTGTTCAGGCAATTAAACAGATGATTCCGCGTAGCTGGTTGCACTAATTACTCACTCGCTTCCATTCGAATCTTGACGATTTAGAAGCAGCAGAATGAGAAGGCAAAAACAAGTCCATTCGGGCGCCCAGCCGAGCCTTCCAGCGTTGCCAGGCCATTCTATGAAGCGTCTGCCCTTCTTCGGCCATTATTATTTCTGTTTGTTGAACAAGAAAGTTCATCGAGGTTCAACCCCAGAGTTCAGTGTGTTATTAACTGGCGCGCTGAGGTGTACATGCACCGCAGAGCAAGCAACCGTTTTCGCGAGTTCCTCCTCTACTCCATAGTATTACAGCAGATGACATTTTAGAACAATTAACCCTGTATTCCCGTGCAAGCTCTGGGAACAAACAAGTGGCAACTTTTTCTGTGACCCCAACATTCTTCTGTTGCTGTTCCAGCCAGGGGGCCGCCCGTTTCCCCTGTTATGGTTTCTTCGCCCTTGTTTTCTCGCTCCCAGTTTCTGGTTTACTTGCCTTCTTCCACTGCGGTGGTGCCAACACACCAGGATCTGTGTTTTCTGCGTGCGTCGGTGCCGTCTAAATGCGCAGCTGTGCGCAAGTAACAGCCTTCTTGTATTTCAACTGTTTCAACTGTATGCAGTCCCAATTGTGGTTGCCCTATCTGTAAAGACGCAATGCTCAAGGAGCAATCAACACCCGAAGATCTGAGGGTTGTGCTAACTCCCAGGGTGCACACGAACAAACAGTCTTTACAGTGCGTATAACACAGTGACCACTGTTCCTGAATTGCAAGCACTGCTGTATGTGCTTATCCTACATTAAGATAAATCAGCTGCTTGCAAACACTGCTTTGCATAGTCCCTCGGCTTGCTAGTCGTGTACTTTAAATGAAACAGTGAACAAACATTTGTGCTAACAATTCTGCAGGCGAGGCAGCTGCAGCAGCTGCCACATGCGTAATATCCAAACTGATAAGTGGCCTCAAACGCCAGACATTTCGTTAGTTCCTGTGTGCCTTGAAGAAGAAAAAACCAGACAACAGCTTATTTTGGCTGCTGCTGCTGCAACTGTCGTTGATGCTGGTGCAGCGTGGATCCAGCGGTTGTCGCTGCACCGCCCCTGCCGGCGTCTCGTGCTTCGCCTTGGAGGCATATAAGCAAAATACAGACAGAATCAAAGTGCAAGGGAAGAGATAGAAAGGAGCTCGTGGCAAGGAGAAAACACAGAAACGGAGATACACACAAACAACTGCTGGAAAGCATGCAAAACTGCATGCAGCTGAAATTGCCAGCATGGAGACGATCACGAAGAACGTCGCTGCGCTTTTTCCGCTGCGTCCAAAGCCGACTGCAAGCCAGGGATGCTGCAAAGACAAAGCAGGCAAAGCAGTAGCAACAGAAGCAGATGGGAGGTGGCTCAAATATGAACGAGAAAGGACACTGCAAACATCCATGTACAACAGCGACAGACAAACCGTAAGAAGACACAATAATACAAGGAGACTAAAAATGGGACAGCAAAAGCAGCAAAGTGTGCCGTCTCAGAGAAAAGCTACCATACAGCGATAATAAATCGTTCAACAGAGGCTGTAGGAGGGAACGGCCTTAATAGACAAAACTACAGAAATCAAGCAGGCAGGCAAACACAACCAATAAACATATACATGAAACCAAACGCCAACGGCCAAAGAGCGATCGCCTGCAACTCCAACCTCGATACTGACGCACCCGATGGTCCTAACGCGGTGCCTGTACACCTCATAGTCCCTTCCAAATAATTTAATCAGCTGTTTCTCCTCGAAAGAAATCCGCTCCAGAAAGAACACGAAGGAAACGACGGAAAACAGGCAACAGCAAATCACATTCAGCAACACAATCTGCGAGCCTGAACCAGCGCAGAAGCAGCAGCAAATATGCTACCAGTTCTAGGGTTTGTGCTGCGCTCGTTACCGCGGGGAGCCGAAGCTCCCCTGTAACATAAGCAAGATGTCCTGCAACTGCAGTGAGACCAAGACGGGGACAAACCACAGGGCCACTTATTCCCTCTAAGAGCAGCGGCAGCAGCGTTAGCAGCAGGTGCAGCAGCTTACCGACAGCCCACCAGAACCAGCCTGCGTATGCCGGATGCCTGCATTTACTGTATACACCGTGGACGCACAGACGATGCTTTTCTGTCTTTTTCCTCCTGATCTGATGGGTAAAATTCTCCCTTAAAGTGAGGAAGCCCAAACACCGAAGCATCAACCCCCCTATTGCAGCAACCAGACCGCTAGCGGATATGAGCACCAACATGCACATAATGTAGAGCTGCCAGTACACCTCAGATGGTGGTTCAAATGCTCCTGCCGCTCCTGCAGATGCAGTAGTGGCGGGAGATGAAGGAACAATCTGCTGCTGCCGTTGCAGAGGCAGCAGCAACACGTCCAAATCACTCGGGAGGAGGGGACGCTGCAGCAGCACATGCCAGGCAAAGGTAAGCAGCTGCAGCACAAGCTGCGGCAGGTGGACCTGCTGCTGCAGCAGGAGCTGCAACAGCAGCGCGTTGCTGCTGTTTAGCACTGCAGCGGCAACTGAAGGTTTGAGTTGCTGCTCCAGCAGTGCCAGTAGCAGCACCGCAGCATACACCTGACTGTTGTTAAGCAGAAATGAGTCGAAGCTGAGATCTTGTGGATGGAAGGACAGGACAAAGAGATATTCTGTGCTATGGTGCAGCAACAGCAGCAAGATAAACAGTGCCTCAGCTGCTGCTGCACACGACAAGCGGCACTGCAACAGCAGAAGCGAGAAAAACATCAAACAGCACCCTGCCACAGACAGTGCAATGCATTGATAGCACATGTCTACTGTCAGAGACCTGCTGCTGCTGCTACTGTTGTTGCTGGTGCTGTTACTGCTGCTGTCTGGCTGCTTGTGTACCATCACACCAGCAAAGACAACCACCCAAAAGCCACGAGCGACGCTCCTTCCAATCATGCAGCTATCTCCCCGGTGATGCAGTTGCTGCAGGAGCTCCTGCTGCCCTACATAATGCAGGTTTTGCTGCAGCTCTTCCTCCTGCTGCTGCCGCTCCAGTAGCAGCAGCAGCAAACCAACGAATGCCCCGGCCGCAAATGCCCCAAAACGGACCAGATGCATGCCAACCTGCCTCCGCGTCCATTCGGTACGTTTATCGATGTTGCTCTCCTTGCTGCTGCTCCTGCTGGAGCTGCTGCTGCTAAGGTTGCTGCTTGGGCGACGACTAATTTCAGGATCTCCAAGAACACCACGTTTGTCGATGTTGCTGTCCTTGTTGCTGCTCCTGCTGGAGCTGCTGCTGCTATGCTTGATGCTTGGGCGACACCTGATTTCTGGGTCTCCAAGCAAATCTATGACACCCTCACGACAAACTGCTGCATCCGCTGCTGCAGCCAATATATTTGTTACATATGTTCCTGGTGCTGCTGCACCTATCGTCCCTCCTGTTGCCCTCGACCACTGTGAAGCCAAGAAAGGGCACGCGGCTGCAGCTTCTGCTGCTGCCTCATGTTGCTTCATCTGCTGATGCTGCGATTCCCCTACTCCACATAGCAATACAGGAGGTGGGGGAGGAGGGTTCCGACGCCCCTGGGTAACAGCAGCAGCAGCAGCATCTGCAGCACCAGAGGAAGCGCCAGCAGCAACAGCTGCAGGTCCCGTTGTTGTTGGTCGTGCCATATGTTCTCCCGCGGGTGTACGCACAACTGTGCACTGTAGTTGGCGTGTTACCGCCTCTTTAAAACAAGTGCGGCTGTTACATGGCTGTTGCTACTGCTGCTGCTGCTACCGTTGTTAATGCTCCAGTCCTTGCGGTCCCTGCTGCTTCTGCTGACGCTTGTGCCGCCACTAATCTAACGGCAGGGTTGCCGCGTTTGCTGCTGCCGTTAATTAACGGGTGAGATCAACAGAAGCGCACCCAATTTTCGCCGTTGCTTCACTGGCTGCCGCTGCTGCTGAAGCCCACGCTGCTATACTGCAAAAGCGAGACTCGCTGCAACGCAGGAAGGCTAGACAAGAACTTGCTGAGGACCTACGGTAAAAGAACTGACTCAAATAACGGAAAGAAAACTGGAAGCAGCAACGGCTGCTTGAATATTGTATGGACGGCAGCAGCTGCCGCCACCGCAGCTGCTACAGCTGCTGTTCCTTCTGCAACACAGGTGGAGGGAGTGTGCGCGTTTACACGTAGTTGTCTCCAAGCACGAACTTGAAGCTACAAAACGCATGGTGCAGGTTTATCGTCCGAACCTTTGACGCGTACAAATACTAAATGGCAGAAGCTGCAGCATCAGCAGGCAGCGCCAGCCTTCTCCAAGGCACCGCTGTCCTTCTGGTGGGCAGAGACATACAGAAAAACACCACAAAAAGACAATTTCAATATTCTTTGACGGGTTCAACATGAAAAGCCTGCCCGTGAGCAGCAGTGGCAAACGCGCAGCCACTAGCAGCAACGCGCATGCAGCAGCAGCAGGAGCAGCGTCAGCAGCCGCGGCGGCTGAAGTAGCCCTCCCCTGTCTCAGCAGGCGAACCCAGGACTATTTAGCTTACTGCAATTTGCTTTTCATGCAGCATCAGTAACAAGGGGACTCCACCTCTGCCGCTGCAGCGCGGCTCTAGGCCTCCCTGCCGGCGAAGGCAGCAGCAGCAAAACTAGCAGCAGCAGGACGGAGAGCAGCGGTAGAAGAGAAGGTAGTAGAAGCAGAAACGCTGGCATGACCATGGATCAGGGCACGCGTAGCAGCAGCAACGATGCTGCTGCTCCAGCCCCTTTGCTGGACGTTGCTGCATCAACAGGAGTGGCATTTAGTAGTAGAACGGCTGCTGCTGCACCGGTCTTCCGTCTGGTTGCTGAAGCGCAGCGCCGCGTCGAGGCGGCTGCCGCTACAGCAGCAGAAGACGTATTGCAGTGTCTCTCAGCGGGAGTTCAGCAACAGCAGCAACCGCAGCCGCAGGAACAGCAGCCGCTGCAGCAGCAACAGGTTGAAGCTACAGCACGAAAAGACGTGGATTACGTTTTCCGCTGGCACACAGCAGCAGCAGCTGGTGATGCAGCGCCCCGTGAACACCAAAGAGAGCAGGATAGTCACGCTAGAGCAGCAGCAAAAGCAGCTGCGGCAGTGCGGACACCTGGAGCACCCTTGAGCCTTGTAGACGTTTGGCAGCAGCCGCCTCTTTTTCCGGTGTACATACACCTGAAAACTCTGACGCGAGGGTTTTTGCCTACTGCTCTTGTTGCCGCGCTGCAACAGGAGGCAGCAGCAATAGGAGTGCAGCTGTTGCCGCAGCTGCAGCAAGTTTGCCTCTTCCAGGGCAGCACAGCCTACCTGCTGCCTCTAGCAGCAGCAGCGGGAGATGCGGCAGAACCGTCTGTGTTGCGCCTAAAGGCAGGCGCTCCTGTAGTTGCTGCTTGCTGCTGCTTGCGTAGAGCGCAGCAGCAGCAGGAACCTATGGAGGCGGGGCAGCAGCAGCAGCAGCAGCTGTTGCTGCTGTTGCTTACAACGCAGTCTGTGGCTTTTTTTGCTGTGGTGTTGCTGCGGCAGCAGCAGCAACGACGGCACCGCGGCATAATTGACTACGGAGCAGGCGGCTGCTGTCCTCTGCTGCTGCCTGCTGCTGCAGGGCAGCAGCCACAGAACAGCAGCACCAGCAAGAGTTGTAACGTGGTGCAGCAGCAGTTGTGGATGGCGCAGCTGGTTGCTCTGGAAGATCTTTCGGTGGACCTTCCAACAGACATTCGATATTTGCTGCAGCAGCAGCAGCAACAGCGAGAAGAGCAGCAGCAGCAGCTCTACCGTAGCCCATGGTACCCAGTGCCTCGTTTCTTTGCGCAGCAGCAGCAGCAGCAGCAAGACGGCAGCAGCACCATGTATGCTTGCATAGGGGGGCAGATTCTGCAGATATCGATTAACGCGAATGCCACTCGCAGTTATGTGCGGCGCCTGCCTCTCCGTCTCAGCAGCAGCTGCAGCACCACCTGCTGCTGCGACCCCACAAGCAACAGCAGCAGCAGCAAGAGTAATAGCAACAGCAGCTACAGCAATAGCGTTGGAAGCGGGGACTTGGGCGATTCCTGTCCTCGGTGCGCGGCGGCCGCCGCAGCAGCAGTGCAGCGGCTGCAGCGGCACAGCGGAGCAGCAGCAGCAGCAGCAGCAGCAGCAACAGGATCGTGCCCAGGTGTTGTGTTTGTCCAGGAGGCCGGCGAGAGGCTGCTGGCAGCAGCAGATGATGCTGGTGGGGTGTATCTGCTGCGCCTAGATAGCCGCAGAGAAGGCCGCCTGTTCTCCCGTATTGCTAAAGGATTTGCTGCACTGTACGCCTGTGTGTTGCTGCTGCTGATGCTGCTGCTTCATTTGCGGTCAGTGCTGCTTGTGCTGCTGATACTGCTGGTCATAATAATGCCGGCAATGCTGCGGCTGTTAGGGCTGCAGCCACTGCTGCCTGGAGTGCGTGCTTTTTTCTTGTGCTGGGTTCCTTCTGCTACTGTTGCTGCTGATGGCGCGCTTGCTGTGATCGTTTCTGCTTTTCGTTGCAGTTTCCGACTGCCACATATAACAGCTTTAGGTACGAGTGGGACAATGAGCGTAGAAGAAGCAGCAGCAGGAGCTCCTGCTGCTGCTGCGGAAAGCGGGAGCTGCCAAAGTCAGATGGAAGGCGAGGATGCGTGCGATTGCCCGCTTTGCTGTAAGCAGCCCGACACTGCACCAGTAACACCAGCAACAGAAACGGGAGCAACGGAAGCAAGGGACGCCTCTGAAGTCACAGAAGAGGAGAGGGATTCCTCAGGGCCTCCCGCAGGCGCTGAATGCGTAGCGTACATCTCCCCCAACTGCTGGCAGCAGCAGCTCCTGCAAGAGCAGCAGCAGCAAGATCAGCTGACGGTCGCAGACCTGTGTTGTTCCTTCACGCCGGATGGCTGCCCATTGCTGACTCTCGTCACCTCGAGAGGAGACCGCGTGATGCTGCTGGCAAATCGGAGTCAAAAAGTTGTTGTCGCTGCTGCTGGCAGCAGCAGCAGCAGCCGCAACGGCTGCTCGCTCGTCAGGGGAAGTTATTCTCTACGTGTTCTTTCCGTTTTGCTTTCCCCCGAAGCAGCACATTACCGGGAGATGGGAAGTGAACCCATCAACAGCAGCAGGAGCAACTGCAACAAAAGCAGCAGGTGCAGCGCCTTAGTAAGGGGTTCATCGCGCTGGCCTCTCCATGACTTGCAACAGCAGCAGCAACAGCACGACCAGCCGCAGGGCGGCCAGCAGCACCAGCAACAACCTGCTGTCACTGTCTGCAACAATGGCCTGTTTGTCTTTTCAGAGGGCAGCAGCATGCAGGAGGAGCAGCAGCAACAGCAGACTGCGACTACAAACAGACAGTCGGTGTTGCTGTCTCTTCGCTCTTCCTGGCCCTCGGACGCGCCCGTCAAAGCAGCAGAAGCAGGCAGCTATCCCTCTGCAGTTGCTGCCGCTGTTGCTTCAGTGCAGCAGCCGATGCATCTGCACTGCTGCTGCCGCCTGTCGCTGCGTTCGCCATTGTTGGCAGCAGCAGAAGACCGACTTTTGTGGTGGCCGCTGCAGCAACCTCAGCTAAGCAGCAACAACACCAACAGCAGCTTGCGCCAGCTACTAGGGGGCTGCACGGAAGGCCTCCCAGAGTTCCTAGTTGCCCCTGCTGGAGGTATCTCTGAAGGAGCTGGAAAGGACGTCCAAGCAGCAACAGCAGCAGCAGCAACACCTGGAAGTAGCAGCAGACGTTTGTGGCTCTTCACCCCTACGGAATTCTTACTTGTCGATGTTTCGACTCGTAGCAGCAGCAGCAGCAGTGTGTGCTGCCGTGTTGTAGGCGCAGCAGCAGCAAAACGAGGTGCTGCTGCGCTGCGGGCACACTGCACTGCTGCGAAGACGGTTCGGCAACAGCTACTGCAGCAGCAGCAGCGCAGCGTGCTTGGTCGTCTGCAGATGGAGGCAGATGCAGCCGCAGCAGCAACGGAAGCCGCAGTTGCTGCCATTGAATGCAGGAGGGAGTTCCCCCTGCTCCCCCCTGCAGCGCCTCAAACACGGTGGGGCTGTTTGCAGCTTCTTGTGTCCCTTCAGGTCGACAATAACAACAGCGACTGCAGCAATGTTTTGCAAGGACGCAACCTACCACGTCTGACCCTCATTGCAGATGCAGCAGACAGCAACGGCAGTAACAGCAGCGAGCAGCTGCAGCAGCAGCCTCAGTGGATTGGTGCCTTAGAGATGCGCCTGGCACTCCTTGTAGGGCGTCTTTGGGGCACTCCCCTATATTCGTCCACCAAACAGCAGCAGCAGCCTCAGCAGCAGCAGCAACAACAGGTACGACCATTTCCCGCATACGCAGAACACTGCAAATGGCAGTTGGCAGCTAGCGGCGCCAGCAACGAGATCCTCTTGTTCCAGCATTTGGCTGCTACGGCTGCTGCAACCAGGTGTTGCTGCGGCTGCAACGAGCGGTGTAGGGTGTATGCACTGCTTTTAAATGTGTCTTTGATGGTCCTGTGCTGCAGGAGGGCACCACCGTCACTGCATCAACACCGACACCAGCAACGATGCCTGTCTGCCGGCTCCCACTTCCTTACCTCGAGTGGTTGTGCGCGCAACTGGATTTGTTGCTGCAGCAGCTGCTGTTGCTTGTGGGTCCCCGCGCCTCGACAGTGTCTGCTTCACTTGTGCATGCACTTGCTGCTTCTCATCATCCGCCGTGGACTTACCACAGGAGCAGCGGCGGCAGCAACGGCAGCGGAGACGAAAAGGCGGATGGTGTGTTCATGCTGAAGCTGCTGGTAGGGTGTATAGATAGTTTGGGAAACCTCCAGCGGCTATTGGAGGCCGCTCCAGGTGGTCAGCCCTATCGCTTGCAGTTACTGCGGTTGCTGGGGTTTGTGCTGCTGCTGCTACTGCTGGAGCAGCAGCTGCGGCTTATTGCTGCTATCGAGCGTTTACCTCGCAGCAGCCGAGCGTTTATTTGGCAGCATGCAGATGGGCTCTGGAGGGGTACTGCAGCAGCAGGGGCTTCTGTATCAGCAACAGCAGATGCAGCGGGAATTCCAAGCCAGTTAATGTGCACCAGGACGCTTGCTCAGATATTGCAGTGCAGCAGAATCCAAAAGCGGCTCTGGCGCTGTCTCAGTACTGCACTGTTAATGGTGCACCACCAGTCTTCCCCCTCTCTCCTACAGCAGGGTGGCCAATCTCTACAGTCCTCACCAGCAGCAGCAATCAGGAGCAACAGGAACGACAGCGAAGCTTCTTCGTTTTTGGGACTCCGGTGGTTAGCGCAGACCCTGCAGTTGCAGTAAAAGAAGCAGAAATAAGAACACAAGCAGCAAGACTACAGCAACTATTGGAGCAGCAGTAGTAGTAGAAACAGAGGCAGTAACAGCATAGGCACTTGTATGAGGGTCACAGCCCTTCGTATGCTTTTTCGCTGCTGTGCATAGGGCTTTGGGGGCAGCAGACACTCGAGCGCTCTTTTGCTGGGAGGCTCAGGCGTACATGCTGCAGCCGCAGCAGCAAGGGACCTCTTCTGGGCTTCTCCAGCTGGCCGACGCAGTCCTTTCGAGATTTGCTGGATGCGCTGCAGAACAACGGGTAGGCAACCACCCACCTCCTGCAGCTGCTGTTTCTGCTGCAGGCATTGCGGATCTTCTTCTTGCTGCTAGTGCTGTGATGGCTCTGATGTTGCCGCTGCTGTTTCTGCTCTTCTCAGCGCCAGTTGATGACGGAGTGCTTGCTGCAGCTACTGCTGCAGCAGCAGGATGATTCGTTTTCAGCGGTACGTCTGGCGGTGCAGCAGCTGATGACTGCAGCAGCAGTACCGCCGGCAGCAACACTCGGCCGGCCAACTTCAAGAGTAAGAAGCCTCCCCTCTAGTGAAATTGAAGTCGGACTTCAAATATCAGATGTCGTTTCTGCATTTAAAGAAGCCATTCGCCTAGCTGCTGCTGCTGAGAACAACAGCAGCAGCAACCAGGATGGTGCTGCTCTCGGCTGGCAACGTCTTTTGCCGCGGGTGCTGGGATATCAGTGCAGGGAACGTGTACTACTGGATTGTTCAACTCTCCAGGTCGCTCGCGTGTCTCAGCAACAGCAGCAGCAGCAACAGCAGCAAGAGGTAGAAGGCTTGTGGATGAGGCTTGAGCGCAGCAGCGGAGGAGAGCTGCCGTTGCTACTGCCGGGCGAATTGCTGCAGTGGGTGGCACTCGATTGTCTGTTTGAGGCTCATGAGCAGCAGGTGCTGCAGTGTTGCAGGGAGGCAGTAGCAGCAGCAAGCGCTGCTGCAGTAGCGGCAGCAAATGTTGAGCCAGTGCAGCAGTACGCTGCTGTGGTGACTGCATGCAATATGCTGGACGACCCCATTTGCTGCGGTCTTTTGCTGCGCTGCCGCCCAGAAACGTTGCAGGAGTGGGCTGTCTCATCCCTTCTAACAATATACGGCAGCAGCATCAACAGCAGCAGCAGCTGCTCTGTGGGCGCCTCGATTGTGCGAGCGTATCTTCATTGCTGCTTTAGCAGAGGCCTTCTGGCCCAAGGGGGGCTGCTTGCCCAATTGTACACCGAGCAGCAGCACCAGCAGCACCAGGATCGCCAGCGTCTGCTGGCAGCAAGCATGTACACGGCGTTGGCTACAACAGATGCAACAGCAACGCAGCAGCAGCCAGGGCCGTCAGCAGCAGTTCGATGTATGGCCGCAGCGGAGGCGCTGCAGCTGCTGCAGGAGGTGCAGCAGGAGCGGGTTTCTCTCATTGCTGCAGGCGCCTGCACTCCAACTTGTGGGAGTGACCTCGGATCCCTATTTTGCTCAGTTGTAGACGAGCAGCAGCAGCACCAGCAGCCTCAGACTTTGCAGCAGGAAACGGAGTTGCTGCAGCAGATTATCTTCTCTCTGAACACCCTGCAAACGGTGGGCTACTTCACTGCGTGTCGGTGTCTATACTGTTAAGCAGGAGGCAGCACCAGTAGTCAGGCCGTTGTTAGTGTCGGTGCTGCTGCTTATCTGCTTTTTGTGCGCCTGCAGGTTGTCAAAGAACTGCAGCTGCCGCTGATTTATTGGGTCGCGCTGCAGCAGCTGCAACTGCAGCAGTGCGGACAGCAACAGCAGCAGCTGTGGGTGACTTCCCTGAGCAGTTCAGATGGGCTTGCAGGGCCTTTGCGCTTCTCGCTGCTGCCCATGCCTCAGCTGTTCCGTTTTGCTGCTACAGCAGATGCACCTCATCTGTCTCTGCGGGCACTGCTGCTCGACTTGGTGCTGCACTTGCCTGCTGTTCTGCTGCAGCAGCAGCAGCAGCAGACGGTTGGAGCTGCGGAGAGTGTTCATGCAGCAGCAGCTGCTCTCCTCTCTCGCCTATTTCTTCAGGCGTCGGCAGCAGCTGGTAGCTGCCCTACGATTAGGTGCGCTTTGGTGCTGTTGCTGGTCCTGTTCACTTTGCTCGTGTTCTTGCTGCTGCTTCTGTTACCTACTGCTGCTGCTGCTTGCTCTCCGGGTGTTTATAGTGCTGTGCGACGGCGAGGTTTTCCTTTGGCATTTTGTTGTTGCTGCAGCATGCTGCAGCAGATGCTGCCCCCAGCTCAACAGTTGGCAGGCAGTCCTGTACTGCTGCTGCTGCTACGGTGCTGCGACTTCGCTTGGTCGGGATTGCCCACTCTCTCCAACGCTGCGACCAATGCAGCAGCAGCAACAGGAGGAACAGCGGTGGAGGTGTTGCAGAAAGGCAACATGTTTGTGCGCTGCTGCCTGGAGGTGCTGCATGCCGTGTGGAGGGAGCAGCAGGAGCAGCAAGAACTGCAGCAACAGCAGCAAGAGGAACAAGCCTCACTGCCTGGTGACCTTGTGCTGATTGCAACAGGATGGTGTCAAGAGGCTGGGTTTTCTTATGCAGATGCTGTTGAGATGTACGTACACCTTCTCGCGGAAGAGACGCTTATTGAGCAGACGTGCGATATCTTCAATGCACAGCTGCAGCAGCTGCAGCAACAGCTGCAGTTGCAGCACCAGCATCAGCAGGTATGTGGACCTGTGGGCTTGTCTCAAGTGCGTAGGCATCTGCAACAAGTTCTGCTGCGGCTGCTGTTGGTCTGGCTAAAGGCAGCAGACGGTGTAGGACCCCACAGTAGTTCTGTATATGCAGTAGCCCACTCGGAGGCTCTGGATGCTCTATTAAATCATCTGTGTGAGCCGACGGACAATACACCGCAGCAACAGCAGCTAGCCGAGTCTGCAAAGCTTGTTAAAGTACTACTGCAAAGTGCATCAGCAGCCAAGACGCCCCTTGAGCAGCAGCAGCAACAGCAACAGCAGCTGCTTCAGCTGCAGCGACAGCAGCTCCTGATGCTCCCACACGCCTATCCAGACGCACTGGGCGGTGCAACGAGCGGCTGGATGGAGGGGCTGATGAGGGAATAAAGACAAAACAAAGCGATAAAACCCGACAGTTGTACAAAATTCCTGTTTTTGTATGTTTGGCTACGGCGTCGCGTGCTTTTGCGTATAATCCGATAACTGCCATTTATTATATTTATAAATATATGTATATGTACATTAGCAATATATGGGAATATATAAATATATGGATTCCGCCGACGTTTGTTTTGCACTGCGTAAGCGCGCTGCACGAAATAACCCTTTCAGATGCGCGTTGCACGCGCGTGCGCGGTGGCACAAAAAAGCTCCAAGCGTGGATGCCGGCAAGAAGAGGGGAAAGTTGAGCGAATGTGGAGGCAGATGTGGCTGTATCGTGTGTTTAACCTGCCCTCAGTTCGTTCGTGTTTCTCACTGCTTCGAATATTATATATATGTTAATGGGGACGGAGAGGATTTATTGCACATTGGCACACAAAGATAGACACATGTGAAGGGCAGTTTGAATATGCCTCCATCTGACCAACAGGCAAAAGGGGAGCCGGCAGAAACGCAGAGTAGGGAAGGGAAGGAGAAGCAAATAGGGCAGATGAGTTCTTGAACGGAGCCACTGCTGTGACATAATAAATAATAATAGTGGAGCATCCGCGCTACCTTAAAGACAAGCATTTGCTTCAAAACAACCTCGTGATGGCGGGAGGGGAAACGTTGTGGTCGACGATGTGTCTGCATCAATAGAAGCAGCACAACAGGCACGGCAGGTAAAACTACAGAATTTGAGCAGTTGCAAGCAACTAACTACAAGATAAAATGGTTATACAAAAACTAAAACGGCAAAAACCACCAATGCGCACACGGGTAACAAAGAACACCAGGAAACACAGGAAAATTTCAAGAGCGATGAAGATCCATAAAATAGCAACCAGCAAGGCCTATGGCAGCAGGGTGGGGAGACGACACCCGCAGCAACCACGCTTTAGAACTACACAAGAAGAACTGAAGAACAAGAAAATGAGAAAACTGTTCGCGAATCCACTTGACTTAATTATTTGCATTTTGCTTTCTGCTTTCATTACGCAAGAAAGGCGATAGACGGCAGACACACCTTCGAGTCTCAGTTGTACTGTTTAAGTCTGTATTGCTGATTATTGTTTTTATTGCAGTGGACCATACTTAATAATAACGCGAGCTGAATATTACATGTGTTACATTCGCTTCTGCATTTGGTGCAGTCATACTGATAGTGGGGTGTTCTGATAGCTTTGTCTAAACTGTGTGGCGTATCATGCAACTAGCTAAAATATTCAGATTTACGGTTTAGGCCGTAGCTGTAGCTGGCTAGAGGCTGACCTGCGGATGTGGGCTTGAACGCGAACGAGATACCGCTGTTTCTTTGCAAGCATGTCCCGCAGGCGTAGACGGAAGTAGACGGCCTCTAAGACGGCCACCAAAGGAGACCAGGCGGACAAGCACTGCCGCTGCAGCAGCGTCAAGTGCTTCGCTGCCTCCTGCTTCAGGAAAATCATAGTCTTTCCCACCTGAACACAGAGACACAGCAGCGTCACAACAGCAGCAGTAAGCACAAACAAACGAACAAGCAAAATATCAAACAAACAAGCGCGAACACCAACACTAACACCAACACACACACAACACACGCGACGAACAGTACATTCGCACTAAGTGAGAGACAGGTCAACCACAACAAAGAGAACCAACAGAGCCCACGAACAGTTCAAATTTCCTGCATTGTTTAAAAAGTGGTTAGTTTGTAGCAGTCTGTTGGACACCCATATGTCTGAATGATTTATTTGGATGAGCAACATCTGCGTTCCTCTTAACCAGGTGTCTACATCACGTGCAGTACATTTGGGTTTTGTGCTATACTTTGTTTCTTCTTTTACCTGGCACTGTTTCCTGTCCACCTTAGATTTCTCTAAAAGTGCTTCACATGCAGCTCGGGGAGAGAGAGAAGAGTTCTCGCAAATGCCTAAGTCAATGAACTTAAATTGGTACAAAAAGTCTTTGAACGGACGTCTGTAAAGAAGCAGCAGACGACACAAAACACGCCACGAATTGCAAACGAGAAATCACAATACACATGTGGCATTAAAAACTGTAACAGTAGCACAGGGAGAACAAGGCCAGGAACAAGATGTTCTTAAGATTCCAATATTAAGCACGTTTGTTCAGCATACAGCAAGCCATCTGAAGATGGATTGCTGTATGAATATATTATTCTGCAGTCGTGCGTGCGCAATTTCTGTTCGTTCCCCTTTCCTGATTCCTCTGCGGTGTACCTGTAAGAGAAGCCGACTTGTCGTAGCTGCAGGGCCTCTAAGACTGACAGCGCATGTAGCTGAATCAACACCTTCGACTGCACCCAGTCCAATGGCTTCTTTGTGTCATTTGGCTTCACACATCTCACGAAGTGTGGCTCCGTGCTCTGCAAGAGGGGCGACGCAACACAAAAGAAAACAGAAGCAATGGGACTGCATCAGTACCCACAATGAGCATCTGCATCAGTATCCACAATGAGTGACGATAAAGGAAAACCTCAAGGGGGAAGAAACTGCAGCAATAGCAACACTAATGCTTCAGTCCTAAGTCAATTCAAATGAGGCCGGTCTCCATCAGTCCGTTCGACCTCCAATACCCTTCAGTGGGTTCCCACACAAGCATAGGTGTATCCTGCGCATCGCAATGTGTCTGTATGTACGCGTGTAATGTGTGCAATTACATTGATGAGCTCCATGAGGGCTTCGAGCTGTTTGAGGAACTGCGAGCCGATGAGTTGGCCCTTGGCGATTTTACCCTTCTCCATGACAATGCCTGCAAAGAGGTCTTTGACGACTGGGTTTGTGGAGGCCTGCACAATTTCCATGATTTCTGCTCTGAGCACGTCCTTGTTCTTGAAGAGGAAGCCTTCTGCGCTGTACTGAATGTCGCCGATGGTGTGCGAAACGAGGAAGTTGATGTTGGGGGAAACTTTGGCAGGTTTGAACTTGGAGCTGTTCTTGAAAGCGCTCTTGCAGGCAGCCACAAACTTCTCATCGCTACCTCCCGGGGCCAAACACTGGTCTTCTAAGCTAGACAAGATGGAATTCTTCTTGTCTGTGAGCAGCGTGATAACGTCAGTGTTGGAGGTATACACTAGTTCCGCAGTGGAGACATCTTCTTCTTTGTACAGCTTCGCCTCGCGAGTGAAGACGATGTCTACAAAGTTCTTTTGCAGCATTTCGTTGGTCACGTTAATGAAGAACTGCTCCAATGAGTTGTTCTTGAACACTTCAAATCCGAAGATATCCAACATGCCTAGGAAGTTTTTGAAACCCTCTGGTGGCTTGATGGACTTGTTCAGCTCGCTGATGATCCATAAGAACAACTTGTCGTACATCGCTTTCGCCAAAGACGACTTCAGCATATCACCATCTTCTTGCCTCCACCTGCTTTCCACTCTCTGGCCTCCGGCGAAGGTTACCTTCATTGTGAGCTCCCTCATAACTGCCTCTGGGTCGATGAACAACAGACCGCAAGCCTCTTTGAACAGCTGCAGGTTGGCGCCTTCAATAGCTGCTGCGTCATCAATACCGCCCTGCTTAGACGCAGTTATCTGCACGTTGCCCAGCAGCAGCACTCCAGCCACAACACTCCACACGGAGTCCACCTGCTCGTCTGTGAGTGCCATCGACTTGAACGCTGCACACACTTCTTTGTAGTCCGCCAGATCGTCAATGCCAGGCACGTCGAAACACTTGGGATTGATGTAAGTGTACTGATCCAGCGAGAGCAAGTGAAACCGCTCGCGCATGCTTGCGTCGGCTCCCTTACAGAGCTGGTAGAAAATGTGGTAAGATCGTTCCTGCTCGTCTTGCGTCAGCACTCTAGACTTCTCAAGCAAAAACGCAACAACGCTGCCGTAACGAATACCACCCTCCTTTGCCACGTCTAGCTGCATGAAGCGCCCAAAGCGAGAGGAGTTGTTGTTGCGAATGGTCTTAGCGTTACCGAAAGCCTCCAACACCGGGTTCGCCGCCATGATTGCATTCTGAATCCTCATGTCCATAGCGCCCCCCTTCGCAGCAGCGAAATACCTCATTATTTGCTTCGTTGCCTCCGTCTTTCCAGCACCAGACTCACCTACGCACCCCAATGACAGCAAATACCAAGAAAATCCGTCGCAGCAACAGCAATAACAACACCAACGGCAGTAGCTCACACATCCCGTCTACATAATACATGTAGTTCTTTTTTGCAACTCCTACGGCACCACAGAGGCTGCTGGGAAGGGCAGCAAGTGCTGTTGCCTTCATTAGTCATTGGTTGTCTCTGCCACACTATGGATTTGAAATAGGGGCAGGCCACGTGAAACCCAATAATCAACATGCAGGAAACCAACAAAACAACCAAAAGAGTAATACTGCAGCGCCAAAATCAATTCTTGCCTTTGACCATTCAGCTATTTATTACCCGTCTGTGGTTGGTTCGTTTGCTTCTTTTAACAGGGGCATTAAACAGCAATAGCGAGCAGTTAAGAAACACCAATAACAAAGTATAGTGTGGCAGAGACAGAAGATAGCAATACATAAATGAACAATGGTTACAAAAACGAAGATATGGAGGCGCTTGCACGACGTGCTACAGGAGCAGCAGGAAGCGCGAAATAGTTCAAGTTATGTTCCGAGTTGTCCCATGTGCGCACCTGAGACTATGATAGTTTGTGACTTGTTGACTCCGTGTAGGTTGTCGAGGGCAACTCGTGCTGTATAAAAGACGTGAGGGGGGAGTTTCGTGTAATCGTCAGCATCTCTGTATTTGCAGATCCACTCCTTGGTGGTGTTGCCGAGGTCTTTGAAGGGGTTGATGGCGACGACGAGGGGATCGGCGCAAGTGTATATCTGGTTTCTCATGTATCGATAACGCAAGAAGTCTAGGACGCAGGGGATGTTGGTGTGCGGCAGCATCCCGATGTCGCCGTACGTCATCGGGTCTATAGATGAGTTTGTGTTCCATGCATGCGAATGCGGTACAGAAAACGTTTCATTGTTCCCTGCAGGCTCTATTTGCTGCACTTGCAACATCTCAGGAGTCGAGCCCGCCTGAACCACGCACTTGGCAAACATGAGGTTCGGCTGCTGCTGCACAGCAGGTGCCAAATCAGTCCATATTTGAAACCCCTAAAACGCAGAAAGAAGCACCACAGATGCAACCACATACTTGTGGGTTCACACATCTGCACTAGGCGAAGCACAGACATGCCACAGTTTAGGCGGCATATAAATGTGATTCAATGGTTACATCCTCAAGCAATACAGAAACGGACTGAGAGTGCAGACGGACAGGACGTCAAGAAGGGGGCAGTCACCGCCTCTCGACAGCCTCTACAAAAGTCGAACAGGGGTGGTGGTGCTGAAAAGAAATCGACAATGGCTATTGTACAACTCGCGCTGAAGGAAGCTGTTGCTGTTCAGTTTCTAGTGTTGCTGACGCTGCGACGGTTGCTGTTGCCAATGCTGCGACTTCTGCTGCCACTAGTGATGCTCAAGGGGATAAAGAAGAAACAAGATGAAAGGTGGAGGAAATGACTCACTTTAAAGACGGCACCGGACTGGTCGAACACGTGCACATCCGAAACTTTCTTCTTCAGGCCTGCGGCCGTTTTAACTTCTTCCTGTGCCATTGTGGCGAATAGCTAAAGTAAGTGAGTTCTCAACAGTGAGGTGCTGTATAGAGCGGTAAAACGAAAAAAACACCAAAGATTACGAATTCGCAACTCAGCCAAGTGCCAATGGCGCACTTGCCGCTGCTGTTGTGCTGCTGCACTGTGAGGAAACTCAGGGACCCGAAGCTTATATTGTTCTTTTCAACACAACTTCCTCTTTCTGAGCTATCGAAACGCCTTTTTCATAACTAGAAAGAAAAATGCTGATCTTAGACTGCAGAGGGTGGAGCGCCCATACACCCCAACGGAGCCCGCGTGGCTGACCGTCTGGTGCCCATTACGTAAACCATGGCTCGATGAGGAAAGCACCGCGTTTCCTCTTAATTTTGCCTGTTTTTTAGAACCTCCAAGCCCGCGTATTTAAAAAAAAAACGAATATACTTCTTCTCATTCCCCCAAGATACCCACATTCACCCCAAAATCGCAGGCGAACCCCTGACGACTAGCCGCCCTTCGATTGGTCGAGGAAGGTCACGGAAATATCCTCTTTTGCTCGTTTCGCAAGAGGCTTTAGACGGAAGTGTTTTCATGCAAATCTACACAATTATTCTTCAAGCTAAAATCCACGTAGAAACGGAACAGTGCTGTTGCTTCTTCCTTGCGCCTGTGATCTTATAGCCGTCGAGTGCCTGCTGCTGCAGACAGCTTCTGGAGTACAGTTGCTTGCTTTGACCTTTTTAAAACATGAACAACGGCCCCCAATAGTTGTGTTTGAAGTATGCTCCGGCGTGTCTGTTAGTTTGTTCTTTGTCTCGGTCAGTTCGTATATGGTACTGTGTAACGAACGCCTTGCCCAAGAAATGCCGTTAGCTACAAACGTCAACAAAGCCAATATGAGAGCCATGAAACAACAGCTAACCACTATGTTACTCTCCTTGTATCCTGGGAGTAGCGGAACAAACGCGTGGGTCTGGATCAGTGAGAAGGTAGTGCATGCTAAGATGTCAGCCCACCTCTCTGCAGCTTATATAAAACGTAACCCAGCATGCATGCAAAACTACGCCCCACTGTGATTGATAAGCCGACATATTAAACGACAAAAAATGCGCAAGTGGACACAAGTGGCCACTTTGTACGCAGGGAAAATCCATCGATTTCATGCACATGATAATCCATATGCGCACTTCATATCCCCATTAAGAGTGCATGCCATCATCTGCCTGACGTCCCAACAAGGGATGAGTGAACAAACGAACTAAGCAAGTTCTAAAATGACCTGGTTCACATTCATAGGAATTGAAAAGAAAAATACGCAGAGGATCTGAATGCTCGCGTGCGGAGTTGCTGTATATGAGATTGCGGTCGTGAAACTCACGTCCCTGAGGCTTCCCTGACTTGTCCAGTGTTCATTTGGGCTCTCTAGAGGGGGGGGGAGTTTTAGCGCGGGCGTCCCAGCCTACATGAAACTATGTTGCCAAGTACCTCCAAGGCACACCTTGCAGGGGCACCGAAAGCAGGCACTCTGGACCGCCCTTTGATGGATACCAGAATTAAAATGTATAGGGGCCAAAGTCTTTGCTACAGCAACAAACTAGCCTTAGGTAAACCGAATAGAGCGAAAGAAAGCGAAGAATTCATGATCACAGGAGACCACAAAAACATAAATATAGTCAGTCGAGATCGAACTGGGGTATTTGCTGAGCCCATTCAAGTAGATCGTCACGCATTTAACGGGCAATGAGTGTTATTGAGGTGTCTGCCCTGAACCGTTCAAAATCGGGAGAATCAAATTGAAGCCAGTTATCTACTATCGCTGCACTCACTAAGTTGCGGGTTGCGGGCCCTATGGGAGACTCCAGCTAGTAGCCAAGAAGGCATCGACCCTTCGGTGGACCATGATGCGTGCTTCCCCCGACTGCTTGTGTTCGCCCTGGACCCGAAGGAAAGCGGCAGAAACTCATGATTCGATTCCAGTGGAATCTTCGTATTTTAGATGGTTTGGGTTGGATTGCTAAGTGGGATTTGTTGCTGCTTTATCATCTGCCAACACAAAGACGCCATCGATCTGAAGGGAGTATCATCTGCCACGAAAAGCCTGGGCTACCACCTCGGCCGTCAGATTGAGATCGCCAGCGACCCCGTAAGCATGACCATGCACCTTTTAGTGACTTTGCCAAGACATGTTTAATCATCGAAGTCTTGGGACCGCTCCAGGAGATGCGCCAAGTATTGGTTATCTCCTTGACCAATGAAGCGTCTGCCATGGAAGTAGTTCTTGAACTTCTTCAGTCTGTATCGGAGCGCGAAGAGCTCCTCCACGCATACTGGGCACTGGGCACTGTCGCTCTTTCCCTCGAAACGATAGAGTATCGGGTGACAAGCTGGTGTTTACTAGATCTTTCGATCAGCTTGGATGTATTTCAAACAGCCGCTATATCAGTAGCATTGGCTGTTGCGAGGAGCCGATGGAAATAAGGGTGCAGCGTAAGTATTGAAGACGAGATCAGATTCCCGAATACGCTGTTGGCAATTGCTTCTCTCCCTTCTGCGATAACTGGCCCCAGATAGAACAACTAAAGGAGTGTAGAGGCAGTAGGATTCTGGATCCTCAGAGACTGGACGTTTCCCTTAACATTGGCCGTTTGCAATCAGCACACGCTATTACTCACGCCTGTCAGCACCTTAATCTCCTCAACGTGGTTCTCCCAAAATAGCGCAATTGCAAAAGAAATATTACTGATAAGTTATTGTGGTGAACTGATGTGCTAACAAGATGGGGTTGCGAAATTCTGGGTCAGTGAAAGAACTGCAAGTGGGCAGATGATCAAGCTTTGGGTCCTTCCTGTCTTGCATCTTCTCTACGCTCTAGTATTTCTTGGAGTATTTTGCCATGCGAGGTACTTATGATACTCAGGATTGCTCAGCACTATATGTCCACTAGATCTCCTTATGTCCTTGCAGGCTGTTTTGATCAAGCGACAGCTCCTTAACTCCCAGTTACAGGCTGCAAATTCCCTAGGGAGGCCTACGTCCACCACCAGAAATACAAAGACGGCATCTTTAAACAAGAATTTCTCTAAAGGCCCATGTTTTCCCCTCCGTTCTATCAAGCCCTGTGCACCCCATAGCTCTAGAACGGCTCGTGGCTTGCACAGGTAACAAATTCAGAAAGCGTTCGGGCATACATCCCCACAAACACACAGCACTTCTTTAGCTTCCCCGTAGTCATTTTCCCACTTCCATACTGAGGTTTCAAATTCAAGATAATGAGCCCTTTTTGTGTCTCTAGTGTTTGAGAAGCTACGTAACCCACACCGGGAGCGATCATAACGGCACAAGGCCGCCTGTAGGATAAGATAGCATTTTGTGATTGACATCAAACAGCAATCATTGCAGAAAACGAAGTAAAAGGTTATCTGGCAGCTGCACAAGTATTCCGTTAACAAGGCCATGGAGTTGCTCGTAGGCTTCAGGATTTGCACCTGTCTGCAGCTGGTGTTGGTCCTGCAAATCGCAGGAGGGAAGGAGCGAATAAAAAGCATTGACGATTCATTTATTTATGCGTCTAATTTAAATTTGTTTTTCTGTAGCGGAAGAGAAGCCTTTCGCCGTCCTCTCTCTCCGTGGGTCGCTTATGGCCGTTTGTGGGTAGTCGTCTGTGGTCGAGTGGTCCGGTCCGGTTTGGTGTCCGTTTTTGTTTGTCAGTACAGGTTGTTGACTTCTGTGTTTGTACACTGTCTCCCTATATTTGTGATTAGGGAGTACAAGGAGTGGCAGGGAAAAAGGGCTAATAACTCCTCTTCTTCGTGGAGGTCACCACCACTTCCCTTGTGCGAGCTTGTATAGCCTCAACACGAAACTTTTCTGCTTTCCTGCAATTTGTTTTCGAGCGGCATTCAACTTATTCATGGCCTACTTGGCTGTTTTGTCTTCGTTTCGTGACGCAGAACAAATGAGAGGCGTCCTGCCTCCCACTACACCCAAAACACTAATGCCTAAACACGACGCCCGCATTATTGTGTGGTTCTGAAGGGCGCGGCCTTTAAGTTCTCTCAATCAAGGAGGGCAAATGAGAATCGCGGACCCCTACTAGCCTCTAACCCCACTGCAAGAACCAAACGCCAAAACCTCGTTCTTGCTAGTTTCTGCAGGGGAAGACATTTCAGAATAAGGGGGTTATCCGCCTTCCTCTCTCTCCCGCGGCCCCTATGGTGCTGCACTTGAGCTCCTTGTGTCGTATCTTCCTCCCCTGCGGCTCCTTGTTCAGCCTTTGTTCTCCCTTTAAATGTTTTTCCTTCCCATCCTAATATCAGTCAATGCCGCTACTTAATGAAGAGGAACTCGAGAGGTTCCGCACAAAATCATGCCACAAAGTTCGTTCTAACCACTGGTAAGCTAGCGACCGCAAAACGCCAAAGCATAAATATACCATAAACCTTGAACGCTAAACCCTACACCATATGCCCCATACCCTAAATCCTACAACCTCAGCCCGACACCCCCACCCTCCAAGCCATGCTCACCCCATACCCTAAACCTTAGACTCTAGGGAATTGCTAAACGGATTCACATATGCGAACCATGTCCTCCTTGCCATGCTGCTGCACGGTCTCTACCGCAGAACTGTATGGCAAAAATTCCGTTTTAGTGTTTAGAAATTCCTTGTTAGCGTCTAGAGTTTCCTGCTGAGCGTTTCAAGGGCATTCCCTTTCCTGTTCCTCAGCGACTTTGGATGGGAAAGATGCAACTACTGCCATGACCCCCTATGGGTCCGCCGATCCCCCTTTTCGTACAGGGATTTGCCTGCTGCAGCTGCAGCTGCAGCAGCAGCAGCAACTGCAGACGCAGCAGCAGCAGCAGGCGTAGAAGCCGCAACAACGTCCACTGGGAAGATAGCTGTCCTCCGATATTTGCCTATCCTGTGTTCGAGAGTAGCTGCAACAGAAACAACGTCAGCGGAAGGTTTCAGAGCCTCGCCCGCAGCATCCCTGCAGTCAGGGTCTGTCACAGCCCCTGTTGCTGCAGCGACAGCTAAGCCAGCATCAACAGCAACTTTGCCAGCAGTGAAAACAGTTGGAACGAAAGCAGGGGGAAGACCATGCACTTCTTCTTGTATCTTCTCTCATAGCCTCGATGAAATAAATTATCACCCCTTGGTTTACAAACGTGCCTTTTGCTCTGCATTCCACGGCGGCAGTAACAACACCAACGCGTGCGCGGTGTACTACTGCCACAAAGTGCATGGCCATCTGGAAGAGAGAACGCCACGTCTATTTTTGCTTCTGTACAAACCATCGTCGTCAGCAGCAGCAGCAGCAACAGCGGCAGCAGCTGCAGCCTTCTCCCCCCTTGTGCTTCCAGGTGAATGGGTGGGGGCTTCGCTAGTCTTTAGAAATATTGTGCATAAGCCCCACAGCACTGGAGTCTACAGACTAGGAGGCATTTCCCACAGGCAGCAGCAGCAGCCGAGACAGCAGAAACAACATCAATTGTGGCATCAGCGCCGTGTGTCACGCACGCGAGGAGGAGATTCAGCTGGTGACCCCTTTGGAAATGCGATGTTGCAGTCCCGGTGCGGCAGCAGCCGCACCACCATCACCAGGACTGTTGTCTGTAGGACAATTGCCCCACGACAGCAACAGCAAGAGCAACAACCTCAGCAAAAGAAGCAGCACCTGTTACTGCTGCAGCGCCGTAGCTCGGTAGGCGCCGCTAAAGTCTGTGAGGTTGGTGCAGTGGCACACAGGGAAGACGGCCGCAACGAAACTCTTCCATTCCTGGTAGCAGCTGCTGCCCAAACGGAAACGCGGGCGGTAATAACGAGGGCTTCAGGTTCGTTGAGCCTCCCTGGAACCCCCCATTCACCAGCGGCCGCAGCAGGAGGGGCCATATGCAGCCCTCATATTACAGACCTTAGCTCAGTTTGCGTAACTGTGTTTGGCAAGGATGCACTGTCAGAGCACACTTATCATCAGCAGCAACAGGAGCAGCTACAGCAAGGGTGTACACGCACAGAGGGGTTTTGGGAACAGGCCGAACTCCTGGGCAACCATGCCACCTTGCTGCAGCAACAGCAGCGAGAACCGCAGCAGCAGGAGATCCAAGACGGGGAGGAGGAGGAGAAGCTGCTGGTTGGGCTGCCACTGTCACTAACGGCAGGAAATGCAGCAGAAGCAGCAGTAGGAGAAACAGGAGCAGAAGAAGGACCTTCACAACTAACTGGAGCTGCAGCTGCAACCTGGAACACGCATGCGAGGACAGCAGCAGCAGCAGCAGCAGCGACAGCAGCAGCAGGAGTTGAAGTTCTGAACCCCACATCTTCTGCCTTTCTACAAAGTGGCGTCCCATCCACACTGCAGTTAACCCAGACAAGTCACTGCAGTGGTAGGACTACCAAGAATAACAGCAGCAACGACAACAGGAAGAGCAGCAGCAAGTGCAAAAACAACAATACCAGCAACATCAATAGCAACGGCAGCAGCAACAAAAACAGCATTTGTTGTGAGCGATGCAGCAACAGCAGTTTCTGCTGGCCCGCCTACAGCTTTGAGTCATGCAGCTGCATCGCGCAACAGCAGCAGGAGCAAGAGCAGCAGCAGCAGCGTTTGTCTCTGCCCCATGCCTGGTGTTGGCAGCCGCTCTCTTCTCGTGGCCTGAGGTTGCAGCTGCAGGTGCAGCATATCTCACCAGCAGCATCAGCAGCATGTCCTGCAAGACAACCAGTCGTACGAGCAGCAGCAGCACAGGACCATGCAGCAACACAGGATGCAACAATAGCAGCAGCAACAATGCCACTGCCCTTTGCTCTGAAAAGTCCGCTAGCATCCCCCATCCGCTTTCTCCCTTTAAATGCAGCAGCCGCTGCTGCAGCTGCCTCAGCAGCTGCACAAGCAGCCGCTGCTGTTGCGCCAGGGTCAGAGCAGGGCCGTGCACATCTCCCACCCAGAGGTCGCAAGGTAGATCCGCTGCAGCATTTGCACGAAAATAAGGAGTTCGTCGCCTGCTCCATAGCAGTAGCCGCAGAGGTAGCAGCAGGGGAGGCAGCAGCAACACCGGAAAACACAAAAGGAGCAGATACAGCAGCGGTAGATACAGCAGCAACACAGGCAGCAGCGCGAGTAGCAGAGCTTTACTGGCCGCAGCAGCTGCAGCTTCAGTTGAATAATCTTTTCACCAAAGAAATACACTGTTGCACTACTGGTAGAGGTAACAACAGCAGCCACTGCAGCATCAGCAGCCAACGCACGGACAACTGCAGCACCAGCAGCGAGAGCACAAAGAGAAGCAGCAGAGGGACAAGAGAAGAACTGCTTTGGGCAGATATATCTCCACCTGAACGTAACAGAGAATCTGAGAATCTCTTTAGAAGCAGAAGGGAAGTCAGTAGAAGCCGCAGCAGCAGACGCCTCTGCGTGAGGTATTCCGGTCCTTTAGAGCTGTCTACATTCAGCGGGAAGCAGCGGCAGCAGCAGTGGAGGTGGGAGAAGGAGAGGCAACGGCGGTGGCAACAGCAGCATAAACGAACCCTTAGCCGTTGGTCGAGAGCGCCTAAAACGGAGTCCTCCTTGCTGTTGCTGGTGCAACAGCAAACCCTCAAACTCATCCACCGAGGACAGGAGCTGATTGCAAGCTTGCAGCAGCAGCAGCAAGAGCAGAACAAGGCAGCAAACGAGCAGCCAATGGAGGTAGAGGCACCGTTGGAAGGAGGAGCTGCAGCTGGGAGTGGCCCATATGGAAACCCAGGAAAGGCAAGCACTTCTTCTGTTGCTGCTGGAGTGTCCCATCAAGCAGTCGTTCAGCAGCCACAGCAGGAGCAAAGGCGGCAACAGCTGCTGCCGCTTTTGCTACAGGAAAATTTAAATTTGAGGCACTTCTACGTTGCCATTTGTCAATCTGCTACCAATGCACAGCCGCCAGCGGCAGAGGTAACACACGCAGCAGCAGCAGCAGCTCGAGGTCCCTCAAAAGGTTGGAGGGGAAGGAAGCTGAGGCGGTATCAGCGGCCTACCCGCATACCCAGCGGAAGCAACAGCAGCTGGTTCTGCTGCACCTGGTGCTGCAGCAGCTGTTGCTACAACAGCTGCAGCAAATGCACCCAGCAACAGCTCCAGCGGCGGGGCTTACTTATTGGGAGGGGAAGGGGGATGAGGGAGGCTAATCTCCTGCAGTAAGCAGAAAAGTGACGCTAAACAAAAGGCGCAGGAATAGCAGGAGCTGCTGCGGCAGTTGGTGCTGCTGCTTCTGTTTCGCCTTTGCACTGCACCCACGGATTCCCCAGCAGCAGCTGAGCAGCTTACATAGTGCCTTACTGCCTGATGCTACCGAATATGATGCTACTGATACAGCTTCTGCGGCTGCTTTTGCTGTTGCTGGTGCCGCCGTAGCTGCCGCTTCTATTGCTGCTGCTGCTGCTCTTTCAGGCACTTTCAGTTGCAGCAGCTGCCGTATTTTTATCGCTGACGGCAGCCTTTTGCTCCTGCCCAGGGCCACCGCAGCAGCAGCAGCTGCTGCTGTTTCTACTCCTGCTTCAGCACAACGGCAAACGCCGCCCCTCCAGCTGCAGTTGCAGCAGGATACATGTCAGTTGCGTTTTGGGGTTTATGTTCAGCTCGTCGTTTTAGCTTTGACTGAACATTTTTCGTAAAACTGCCACTAGGTGGAACTCATGTGTACGCAAACCCGACGCCAACGCCCCGTAAAACACAACGATGGCGCCAGGAGGAGTGAAACAACTGCTACTGCTACTTCTGCTGCTTTAGCTATTGATGGCGTTGCTATCTTTATCATTCTTACTGGTTCTCCTGCTCCACTTGTTGCTATTTTTCAAGCTATTCCTTGTGCTGTCGCTGCTGTTTTTGCTGCTGCTGCATTGGCACTCTTTGCCGTCGACATCATGGCTAATCTGCACGTGAAGCAATCGCTTCTCCCGTTTTCTGTTGTGCAGTCTATTTGACCCCTTTTCCCCGTGTTATTGCTAGAAGCTAATGCTCTGCTTCCCTATTTATTTTCCCTCCACATTTGGTTATCCAAGATACCGCCATTGGTGCACCTCAACCACTTATTCGTGCCGTGTCGGAGCACCGAACCCTAAATCCTAACCCCTAGACCCCCACAAACGGACGACACCTGCACGGAAAAATTAACATGAATCATACTAGCTTTGCAATCAATAAAATGTGCAATCAATAAAATAGAGTCCACATGGGCCCTTAAGAGACTCCTCGATGCTGGGGGATGGTAGAGGCTGCATTTCCTAGTATTTCCTCTTGCCCCTCTTTATCTGTTATTTTCCTGTCTGTTATTTTCCTGCTGCTTGTGGAGGTATATCTTTGCTGTATGTACAGGTCTCGCCGGCGCGTGCGTTTGTGTGCCTCTGCTGCTTCTCGCTCTTGCTTTTGTTTCCGTTTAGGTTTTACTGTCTCATTATTTTGCCTCTTAATTTTGTGTCCCTCTGCTGTAAGCCTGCGGCTCTGTGTCTGTGCCTTTGCCTTTCTCCCGGTACTTGTGCTTGATCAATTGTCTTGTGGCTGCACGAGCTGCCCGTTTCCAGCACTTTGTGTAGTCTGCTGCGTATAGCGAGTTTTTGCTGGAGGGTGCTTTTGTATTATCTCTGTCTAATGACTTATTGTTTCGTTTCTACATGCCTTTTCCCTTCGTGTAGAAAACAGAGAGAGAAGAAATGCAGCAGACGTAGACGCAGAAGAGCCGCATCTGCAGGCGAAGACGCCCCGTGCCGAGAAGACGGCAGACAAATCAACTCAAATCCAACCTGAAACAAAACAAAAGTCCTATTAAAAGCAATGCAAAACAACCACACGTACATCTGGCACAAACGAAATGTAAAATAAAAGTACACAAGACTACACATATATAGAGGAGAGAGAGGACACATGCAATGCGGGGTGAGTCCGCAGCCATGAAACGAAAACAGCAAGGGGCGGCAGCTGCTGCTTACCTGATGTTTGATGAGGGCGTCAGCTAATACGAGAGAGTGCTGCAGCAGCACATTTTCATCTGCTGCTCCGTGCAAAAGCAGAAGGCGCCCTGGCTCCAGCTGCTTGCGCGCATTAATGAAAGGCAGCACTGAAGAGAAGCTGTAACCCGCTGGGTTCAAGTGAGGCTGAGACAAATACCGCTCCGTGTAATGGGTTGAGTAACCCTAACATAGCAGCACAGCAGCACATGCAAGAGCAGCAGCAGACGCTGTACATGCAGCAGTAGGTGTAGCAGATGCAGCAGCAACAGTGTTGCCGTCGGATGAGCAAACGAAATGAGGCGGAAAAAGAGAAAAGACCGACAAACCTATGGAGATTAGCGGAGATAAAAAACACGAGGGATAATAATAACGGCGGTAATAATAACCATACCTATGGTAATAGGTTGGTAAGGAGGCAGGACAGAGGTACAAAGAGAGGCGACATATGGAGGAAAAAAAAATGGTGAGCTAAGGCACTGATACAGAAACCGGGTAGAGAGAGCTACCAGCACAGAGTGGTTGAGACTGACGCTGGGACCGAAGAACAAAGAGAAGAAAGGAAAAGGAACGGAAAGAAAGGCGAGTCCAAACAGCACAAACTAAAGGGGTAGGACAAACAAAAAAGACGATAGACAAAGTCATTGACAAAGACGATGAAGGGGAAAACAAATGCGCGGATGACAAAGACAGGGTCAAAGACAAAAAGCGTAGGGCGAAATACAACGCAATGAAGCCAAACAGAAGGAAAAAGGAACGGAAATACACCTCTGCTCCTCTTCGCCATTTTGTTATCTATCGTTCTTGTTTCTTACTTCCCAGAAGGTGACGGGTGCAACTGCTACAGCAGCAGAAAAGACATGGGGCTGTAGCAGCAGTGCCATGCAGCTCAAAAAGCCGCCGTAGCTGACCCCATAAATCCCAACTCCTTCTCGCAACTCCCCTTCCGCCTCTGTCTCCCCGCCAGAGCTGCTGCTGTTGCTGCTCAGTTTTAGAAGCCCTTTCTTGCACAGGTGAAGACACGCTGCTGCCTGGTCTGCTGCCTCCTTGTGGCCAAGCAGCAAGTAAATGCTCTTCTCAAACGAAGTTGTGCGGCCGGCAGAACCTCGATTGTCCGCCTTTATCACGAGCAAACCTAACACCACAAACACTAAACCCTAGGCCTAAACAATAGTATCCCAAACCTAAGATGCAGAGCCTAAACGGTGGACCCTATAGCCACACCCGAAGTCCCAGCACCCAACACGTACAAACACACCCGTCGTCCGTAAACCCTTCCACGCAAACCCTAGACACCAAGTCACACCCCATAATCCCTCCACCACTGGTAAACTACAGGCCCTAATCCTCACAATATAGCGACCAGAGCAAAGTGCAGACCCTAAAAGGCGCTACCTGCTGCGCTAAACACCAACACCACAAACCCTAAACCCTATACTAACTATACCGATGGGGTCCAGAATTTTAAAGACATCATATCTATGAGTACGAGGTTTACTGTTTACACGGTGGCAGGTTTGCGAGGGTCTAGAGATTGTGATGCAGGTTCGAAAAAGTAGCGGGTAAGACTTTGACGATCTGGCTGCCTCTGCCGCCTGAGATCTAACCTCGTAGGTCTTACCGAGTCTGGCAAGGGCCTGCGCTCTGGGGTCGATGTGCAACTCCCAGCTGTCCGTTACAAACTGCACAGATGGGCCACCATAGCACGAGACGACACCTCTATAAGGCGCTGTACAAACAAACAAATTAAACAGCAGATGGAGACATAATACCATATCATCTTTGCTGTAAATGAAGTATCTAGTAAATGTTTACTACTAGAAATCAAAGCGAGCCCACAGAAACTCCCACAAAGAAAAGCCCAAGACCAGCATTTGATTTTTCGTCTAGGACTAAAGGCGATCGTGCAGACCCGCTAAAACAAGATGGAGGGTTTAGTGTTTAATTTTTACGGGGCCCGTGGACTTCGGGGTTGGGGCTGTAGTAGGCCCCAATGAGTGTGTGTTGTTTCTGCTGAAGCGTAAAGAACGACGGCTGTTGCAGCAGCTGGAAGATGCCAGCAAAAAGCGTCTGTTGATGCTGGCTTTCAAAAACAACCTGTGAAAACAACAGCAAACCCAAACACCTAAACCCTAACACTTGCCTAGTGCCTAACCTGGAAATACAACCGCTACGACCCTACTGCTGATAACAAACTACTCTCAAGTGAGTTGGGGCAAATCTCAGCGCTTGGAATGAACTGAGGATTTTAAGCTACCTGGCCACAACCTGCTGCATCCGCGTAGTAGAAGAATGCTTTTCGCAGGCCTGCGCGGACAGACTCTGGAATGTGTTGCGGAATCCGCTGTAGTTGCTCTAGCGTGTAGTCCGCTGCGGCCTCGAGAGTATATCTGTTGCCGTCTCCTTCTGCGTCAGCTGCACATATCTCTGTCTGTTTCCCAGCCAAACTTGAGTTGTACAAACACTCCCCGCGGGCGTCGGCAGCAAACAACTCCCGTATGTTTGGCATAAAGCGGACCCTGTCCATACACCGTGAGTCCGAAACCCCAGACCATAAACCCTAAACTGGAGAGTACCCGCACCCCTCCCTAATGCGCAGTTGAGTCAGGAAGGCACGATCTGTTGTTATGGTGTGTGTAACGCCCGTTAAGGGTATAGGGTTCAGGGTTAGGGCTTTGCCTCACCACATTTGTCTGGGGCTGGCTATCGCATGGTGCATGTGCAGCCACAGAGGCAAACCTTCACAAACGACGGCAGAGTGAACACCGGAAACAGCAGGGTTGGATAAAAATATGTAAGGACAGTTCAGCCGAACAACCTGCTCATATGCATGCACACAGTCCCACCAACAGGGTCGGATGATAAGGTTTTAGGGGGGCGGATAGTTTAGTAATGAAGGGTTTGAGGCTTCGGGCTCCCGGAAGAATTTAGGTTTTAGGGTTAGTGTCAACGGGGAGTTCGTCTATTAACGCATGTATACGGTTTAGGGAGGGCTTATGAAATGCTCGCCTTGTTCGGCTGATCTGCTGCTGCTGCTCCTGCTGCAAGCAGGTTTGTTTCAATGTCGTTCAGAACACGGCGGGACAAACGCGCGCAGATGATGTGACTAGACACTGGAGAAAGGGCTCTCCCCAACAGGCTGCTCTTGTTGCAGTTGTTGCCGCTGGCTTTCGTGCCGTTGCTGTTACTGTTTTGCACCTCCTCTGGGATCTGCGGTATCACCCGCATGAAGAAATAGAAATCGTCTTCATCCCCATCTGCTTCCTCGTCTGCTGCTGCAGTAGGACTAGCGTCTGCTGCTGCTGGCCGAGAAGCACCAGAAGCAGCAGCAGTTGCTGCTGCTTTCCGTGCAGCAGAGAAGAAGGAGGAGTAGTTTTGTGGGGGGGCAAGCAAAGAGCACAGCCGCAGACCATTGCCCTCCGGCAGCAACTGGAAGGAAATATCCGGCCTAGCCATGTGCTGCAGTGTGCACGCAAACAGCAGCAAGCCGAAGAAGCAGGAGCATGTGGGCAGAGCAAGTACAAAGCACGGCAACAACACATGAGGAAGAGCTGCAGCAACTCAGCAGCACAGCAGCACTAAAACTAGCAAAGCGCATCAGACACCATTATGCCTCCACAGCAGCAGCAGCTACAGACACACGAGTGATTGTGTTATTGTTTGACCTGTAAGTATAGCTGGTTGTACTGGTATTTGTCTGTGGCCCAGGTGCAGAAGAGGCTATCTGCGAGCTGGTGCAAATCATCATGAAGAGAAATCCAACTACGTCTTTTCTCTTTGTAGCAGCAGACGCAGCGCAGCTCCTCTTCCTGCTGCTGCTTCTCTTCCTCTGGATTCTGCTGCTTGCTTCTAGTGCTGCTGCTGCTGGTCTTGTTTCTGCTGATGTTATTGTTGCTGCTGTTGGTGGGTTTTGCGGTAGGAACCGCAAAGGGTAAGGCCACACAAATGCGCAGCTCCTGCTGGAGCCGATCTTGCAGCTGCAGCAGCAAAACTGGAGGGGGTCCGGTTTGCTTCTGCTGCTTTCCCTGCTGCTGTTGCTTCTGTTCCTGCCGCTCTCGCTGCTTCTGCTGTTGCTGTTTCTGTTGCTGCTTCTGCTGATGCTCTTTCTGCTGCTGCTTTTGCTGCAGCAGCAGCAGAACTTCGTCATGAGAGAGGAGCTTCAGGCTCTCCAGCTGCTGCCAACTTCTCAGTTTAATCCACTGCACCCGCGCAATATAAAAATCATCACCCCAGTCCGAGACTGGCAGCCTTACAAATCGCACCCCGCTACACACCTTGTTGCCGCTGCTGCTGTTGCTGTTGTTGCTGCTGCTGTTGCTGCCGTCGGTGTTGCTGCTGCAGCTGCAACGGTTGCGACAGCGGGTGCAGCAAGGAACTTCAAGGACGCCGTCTGCTCCCGCTGCGGCGGCCGAGCCGCTTGCTGCTGTGGAGTCTGCTGTTGCCAAAAGAGAAGCCACACTAGGCACCTGGTCAGCCACAACCGCAGCATAAGCCCTGCAGATGGACACTAGACAATCCACAGAGGCAGCGTAAATTAAGTGACACTCAAGGGGGTTCAGGGTCTACCTGAGCGATGCCAATACGGGCCTTGACGTTCTGCTGGCCAGAGAACGGAAATCTGTGCTCCTCTGTGACGAGGAAACTCTTGCCGCTGCTGCTGGCGGCCCCTGTGAACGGCCTGGTGCACTTGCCCCCTACGCCGTTGGAGGGAGAGGGCAATTGCCGCTTCTTCTGCTGTTGCTCTTGTTGCTGCACTTGCTTTTCTTGTTTCTCGTGCTCATCCTGCTGCTCTTGCTGGTGCTCCTGCTGTAGATACTCCGAGAGGTCCTCTGCAGTAGTGCTGCCCTCTAGGTCGTCGGCAAGGAGAGCGTTGAGGTCTGCTTCCTGCTGCAGCAAGTGCCGCTCCACCTGCTGCCGCTGCTGCTTCTCCTGCTGCTGTGAAGGCGGCTTCTGTGGCGGGTCCAGGACCCGCTGCAGCCTCACGGCCGGCACATGGGCCTCCGTAAACTCCACGAAAGCGACGAAGCGACTGTCGGGCGACCTGAATCCCAAACCCCAAACGCTGAGACCTAAGCCCTAAATCCTTTGCAGCAAGCGGCTAGAGACAACAGCAGCCTGACTCCAACAGCAACCCAGTAACAGCTGCAGTGGTCCAACTGCAGCAGCAATACCGACGACCCAACAGCAGCAGCGCTAACAGCAACAGCAGCACGAACAACAGCGGCAGCACTGCGTACCACCAGTAGCCTTCCATGCGGCTCATTTCCTCCTGCGCGACGTATTCTGCTAAACCGCTAGTGAAGTCAGGTGGAGAGGATGTCAGGCGACACCGAATGCCTCCCTCCCTGCTGATGCTGCTGCTGCGGCTCCTGCTGCTAACGGCAGGCTGGGAGCCGTTGGTACTTAGCGTACCTCTTTTCTGAGGAGATTTCTTCGCGGCTTCTCCGCCTGAAGCTGCTGCTGCAGATGGTTGCGAAGCAGCAGCATCAGCGACAGCAGCTGCGTGCTTGAGCAGCAACAAGTGTATGTCACGCCCTTGAACAAAGGCGACGTAGCTGCTGCATGGACTGTACGTACAGTCTAATATGGGGGCTTCACTAGAATTCCTCTCCAGCAAACAAATCGCACCAGGAACCACTCCTAGCCTGCCACTGGGGTGTATAGGCACCTCGCTTGTTGCCACAGCGGCAGCTGCTGCTGTGGGGTCACTCCCGCTACTGGCTGCAGGAGGAGTGTCTGCAGCTACAGAAGGCTGCGGCATAACCAGGTTTCGGAGGGCCAGCACCTGAGCAGCGATGTTCAGGTGTCCAGCCAATTCGGATGTAGCAGCAGCAGGACCAGCAGCGCCAGGTGTTTCTGCTACTGGGGTTTGCTCCAGCAAAGGCCGCAGTGCCCCAGGCGCCTCACTGGCCCAAATACCCTGCAGCAGCAACAGCAGCATTCGCAGCGAGGACACCAGCGTCAGCAACTGCTTCAGCCCCATACGCACCAACAACGAGCAGCAGAAACAACACCAGCGCCACCAATAGCAGAAGCCGCAACCGGAAAAGGCGCAGCAAGACCAACAGCATCAACAGTAGATGAAGCAAGAAAGGCAACAGCCAAAGCAAAACAGCAGCAGCACGATGCACCCTTGCATTTGAGAGAAGCAACCGTTCTCCTCGTGTGTCCCATTTGAAGCTAACGATGCCTGCTGTTCTTTTTCTTAGCCTTTCCTTCTGCAGCTCCTCCTCCAGCGTCAAATCTACCTTCTTTGTTGCTGCTCCTGATGTTGGTGCTGTCGGTGCAGCAGCAGCTCCTGTTGCTGCTGCAGGAACATCATTGCCCGATTTCTCCGCCTTTTCCTTCTGCCCAACAACATCCCCGGTCGCCGTTGCTGCTGGTGCTTCTGCTGAAGCACTCTTTGCTGCGTCTGTGTGGCCTTCCAATTCTGCTGCGTTTTCTGCCGTTGCTGCTGCAGTGGACGCAGTGTCAGACGAGGTTTTCTTCGGCTTCTTCGCTGGTCTCTCTACCGAATGGGTGTCTACAGCGACTGCTTGGTGTTTAGCAGCCGTTCCAGCAGCAGCAACAGCTGCTGCTGCTGTTTCCGAGGGAGGTTCGGTTATGTCGTTGGGGTGTACGAGCAACAGTGCGCCGCTGTTGAGCAGAGGTGGTGCATCTGCCGGATTGCCGATGGCAAGGAAGGGATGGGGGGCTGTGCCTGCTGCTGCTGCTGCTGCTGCTGCCTTCGCTGCTGCTGCTGCAACGGCAGGTGCTGCGGCAGCAGGGACAACCTGCACTCCCTGAAGATTCTGAAGGATCGGGAAAAGTTGCACCTTCGGGTATAACGACAAATCCATCGAAACGCGCAGCGCCCTCCTGCTGCTGCTTGGCGCAACAGCTGCAGCGAGCCGGACGGCGAATCCGTACACCCGAGAGAACCCCGAGTCGAAGTCGGCGAGGAAACAAAACCAAACCAGAGCAGAAGACTTACCACTCCTCAACTCCAGTACTGCACGCTCACCACCTGCAGCAGCACCAACAAATGCAGCAGCAGCAGCAATTGCAGCAGCAAGGGGAGTACTGAGAGGCGAGTGAATATGAGTCGTGTACTCTTGACGGTAGGATGCGTATGCAGCACATCAGCAGCAATTGCAGCGGCAACAACTGCAGCGGCAACTGCCGCATCTAATGCCGCCGCAGCAGCAGAGGCGCCTGCAGCAAGAACAGCAACGTCGGCTACAGCTGCCGCTTTGGTTGTTCACCTGCAAAGGAATATGAACCGTGAGCACTTCCTGAAGCCGGTGTGGCGGAGAAAGCCAAGGCGGATGATGAAAAATGTGTATCCATTGCTTTCACCCTAAACCCTAAACACTAAACCCTAAGCCATAAATCCAAAGGATACAAGTAGCTGGTCAAGGGACCTCGCAGGATCTGCTGCTACGCCCACTGCAACTTTCGCTACTCCTTCTGTCTTGTGTGCGCTGCTGCTGCTGCTTTTGCCGATTATGTTATTGGCGCTACTGAGCCATGCCAGAGAGCAGGTGCCTCCCGTCGAGTGTTTCGGCGCGTCTTGCTTCTGCTGCCGCCGTTGGCGGGGCCGCTGCTGTTGCTGAAATACCTCTACCCACAGCAGCGACAGAGTAATGAAGAAATAAAAGGAAAATAAGCAGAAATACAGTAAAGAACGCTAGTTCTGTTTCATCAGCAACGCAGATACCTACCCCCCTACCCTCTGAGACGCTGTCAGCGGCGCCCGGCTCCCGTAAATCAACAACAGTAAGCCCTAGCCATAAACACTAGGCAGTAGACCAACAAACAGAAAAGCCTCCACATGACCCGCTAGGAGCACATAATTAAGTGAGGAGGAGAACACAGCTCCTACAATTACTTAAATATGAGTAAGCCCTAGCCCGTGTGGTGTTGCAGGTGGGGTCCGCTCGCTTGACGACCCAAAATAGAAGAAGTAGGAGAAAAGCCCTAATCCTCAAGCTTGATACCCCTATATCTGAGTTCTGTATTGTGGCTTAAATTTTATGCGTCATGTATGTGCTCTCAGCAGTTCCGAACAAAGCAATAGACAAATTGCCGCAGTACCTTTTAGCTTCGCTGCTCCCTAACCCAATGGGGTCTGCGCACCACCCTAATGCAGGAGGGGCAGTAAATCGATTAAATTACGCAGATAGTGAAAGGATGCCCTACGCTTGCTTGGCCACCAGCTTGGAGACTCGGCAGCAAAGGCAAAAACCAACCCTCCGACTTAAGCCGGCATTTGCAGTGTTGACAACACGCACGTGCTGCAATTCCGCTGCTGCATATTCTGTTGCTGCTGAGGATGCAACTGCTATCTTTGCATGTCCCCGTGTTTCTCTGTCTAGGACAGCACCAAGAGTGTCTAAGAATGCTTTGCTCCTGCAGCAGCAGCAGCAGCAGCCAAGCACCGTACTGCTGCTGCTGCAGGAAATGGTGACAGTCTGCTGCAGCAGTAGCACCAATCCATCCGGTGTACCTGACTGCCGCAGAGAAAAAGGAATTAAAAAGCACCAAATCAAATCAAGCCAACATCATACTTTTGTTAGATGCTCTCCGTGAGTACACTAGAAACCCTCTTCTTCTCTTCCCGGCAACCACCTCTTGGCGGCGACCTAGGTTTGGGGACATCAGGGTTTCAGTTGAGCTACATAGCCCTGATAGTCTTCTGATCCAGCAGGCAACGCGTGGCGCAGCAGATGCTGCTCTTTGAGTGTCTGTTGTTCATAACGCGCAGATGCTGCAGCGACTGGTCCGATACATCCTGCAGGAACTGATCCGCAGTTGTCCGGTATTCTTTACCCGAAGCGAATTCCGATCATATGGCTGGGTGTTGCAGGTCCCCGTTATTGTACATGTTTGTGTTTTGTTGTTGCATCACTGCATTATGTTGAGTGGGTGTGCTGCTGCTGCTGCTGCCGCTGCTGCTGCTGTTGCTGCTGGTGGTGCCATTGGCTTCTTTTTGGAGTTTTGCCTTTATTTTTTCGAGTTGTTTCTTTGCATCTCCGGGAGGGAATTCATCTGGGTCATAGAAGTGGGGGGCCTGCTGCAGCAACCACTCTCCGCGCACTTGCGTGCAAGTTCTAACGAAGGCCTTTGATGTCAGCACGAACTCGTGGTACACAACCCACTCAGGTTTGTGCGACAGCGTAGACGAGGGGTGCAGCGCCACCAGCTGCCCATCTTTAACGGTCATATAATGCCCGCTGCGTTGGAGATGAGCTACTTGAATGAAGAACCCGCTTAGAATCGCCTTTCTAATCTGTGGGTAGTAGTTTTTTTCCGTGTAAGGCGCAGACGTGATCGGGATAGCCAGCCGCTCCATGTTCCGCTGCAGCTGCATGCGGACGTTCTTGGCGGCCGCCAGGGAGCGGGGGTTGAGGAAGTTTTCGAAACAGAATTGCCTCTCTGCCTCGGGACTGCCTGCTCCATGTTGAATGAAAGCATGAAAAACATTCAAAAGTGTGAGATGATCGCCGTCTAAGTGTGCAAATCGAGCCTTAGTTGCATCTGCCTGCTTCAGGCGTTCCTTCGGACGCAGGAACACCAGAGGCACTGACAACATCGCTGCAATCGATAGCATCTCCTTGCTGCAGTTGTGTTTCGCGGAGTCCACGAGGCACTTCGCGAGCTGCGGGTCAAGAGGAAACTCTGCCATGGACTCCCCGTCGGTGGTCAACTCTCCCTCGTTGTCTAGAGCCCCCAAATAGTTCAGCTGCGAAGCATCGCACAGAACTAACAGAGACGTTTTAATCGCAAGCAAACCCAAGCAAACATGTCATCAATATATGGCATATACATCAGTAAGCTCGCTTTTCACGCGAACAATTGAGGCTTTACTGCCAGCCACCGCAATACGCCTTGATTTCCACACGTGGGCAACAGCATCTCCACATGTTGAACACTCCGTCGACACACGCAAGCAAACAAAAAGAAGTCAATGAACCATGAACCAGATGCCCCTAATTAATGATGTGCTTCACTCGTTTGCGAAGTCATACGCGAGGCAACCAACTCGATTGCGTGTAGAATATTCATCCATGCGGCAATCGGAAAATACGTCAACGAAACAGCAAAACATAAATGAAGTGGCAAATAACAAACCAAAAAACGAAGATACTAACCAAACAAAGGCATCAATTGAGGTTTAAATCAGATGAAAAAACTAAGTAGGCAAAAAAGACAAGAACGCACAGGCGTAAGCATGCAACTACACGAACAAAAATGGCGACCTAAACAACTAAACAGAAAGCAAGAATACCAAAACCTTAAATCCTAAACACAAAACAATAGGAATGCAAGATATGACGACGTGCACGCCGCCATCAACAACCAAGCAACAAGCTGAAGTGAACAAGCATATGGACGAGCAAATAAACCACCAGCTGATAGATATGGAATACAACAACAAAAAATAAGATAGGAGCAGAAGTATGAAGCCAGCATCAGCTGCCAATAGAACATGAACTCCTGAGGCAGCAAAATCTGCACCTGCTCGAGAGCTCGCATAAGCGTTTCGGGTGCCGGCGGATCCATAAAATCAAAGTGGACCAAATCATCTATTCCCAGCTTCTTTAAAGTCAACACAACACTCGCCAGGTTCGATCTGAACACAAACCCTAGAGACTAAAGCCTAAACCCTTAAAGCTAGAGCCCAAATAGTATACAGCGCAACCCGGAGCCCTAAGATGTTAGCCGTAAGCCCTCTGAGCATGAAAGGTTGAGCCCGGCCCGGTGTTTCCCTTTGCTGCGTTTCTAATGCTTATGGAGGGACCACTGCTCCAGAACTGGATGGAGTGTATGAGATAACCACCTGGGCGAGTGAAGAGATGAGGAGTGACCTCTTACCGGAGGATTTCAGCGTAGGTTTGGTCGACAAGCTCCGACTGAAACGCCGCTTCTGTGTATAGGCGAAAGCACTTTCCCGGCCGTGTCCTCCCAGCTCTTCCTGCTCGCTGTTGTGCAGAGGCTTTCGAAATCGGGGATACGAGAAGACTCTCTACGCGGCTGCGCGGGTTATAGACCTTTTGCTTGCTAAAGCCGGGGTCGACGACGTACACGATCCCGTCTATTGTTAGAGAAGTCTCGGCAATGTTCGTTGAGATTACGCACTTGCGGCCGGGGGGTCCTCCCGGGTACCGAGGGGGGGGAGCGGCTTCGAATATCCGCTGCTGCTGGGCTGGCGATAAAGAAGAATACAGAGGAACCACCATCAGTTCTCCTGCATCCGCGTGCCGCTGCGCCGCCTTCTCGAGGTCCTTCTTGGCCTGCTCGATCTCCTCTTCGCCTGTTAAGAACACCAGCATATCTCCCGGCGGCTCCCCTAAGTGAATCTGCGAAGCGTACACGCATAACAGAACTAGAAAAACTGAATACCCGCCAACGACACACAATCAGACAACTACGAGCACATACATACAACTCAACACGCATGAGCACATTTCCGTGTATCCGAAGAACTGCTGAAGCGAACCACAATGCACTGTGGAAATACACACATGTAAGCATATATACACGCATAAGCAGATATGCATATAAACACATATGCACATATACACAGTTATCCAGAAACATGCATGTATGCAAAAATGCAATATACATACAAACACTCCCCTTTTATATATAGCCTACAAGCGCGTATGTGTATGGATAAAATATCGGTTGTTATGCGGGATATAATGCACGGGAGAATTCTGACCTGCAGCGCGGTGCGGATGGAAGCCTCGAGGTAGTTCTTTTCGGGTTTGGGTGTATAGAAGATTTCTACGGGATGAATTCTCCCAGGAACATTTAAGATGGGAGCTCCATCGAAGTAGCGCTGGAACTTCTCCGCATCGAGAGTGGCACTCATGACGACGACTTTGAGGTCTTTCCTGCTAGCTACGACCTCCTTCAACAACCCAAAGAGGAGATCTGTTGCCACAGTCCGTTCATGTGCTTCATCCAGGAGAACTGCACTGTAACGCTCCAAAAGCGGATCAGCCATGGCCTCCCTCAGAAGCATACCGTCGGTTAGGTAGCGAAGAATTGTGCTGCTGCAGCTGCGATCTTCAAAACGAATCGTATATCCCACCTCCTGTCCTAAGTTGACATCCAGCTCTTCAGCTACTCGCTGAGCAACCGACATCGCTGCCACACGGCGGGGTTGCGTGCACGCAATGCAACGTCCAGCATGCATTCCTGCATGCAACATGAACTGCGTCATCTGTGTCGTCTTCCCGCTTCCTGTCTCCCCCACAAGAATCACAAACTTGTTCTTCGCTACCAACTTGAGGAAGTGCTTCTGACTACGCCACGCAGGCAGCTGCTTCCTAGCCTCCAATATCCTATAATAGCGGTCAGTGAACGGACGGCCATTGAAGGGGTTGATTCCGTCCGCAGGCTCCGGTCCACTAGTGGGCCCAACGGGACCCAATGGTGCGTTCACTGCTGCGGCTGCTGCTGCGGCTGCTGCTGCTGCGGCTGCTGCAGAGCTCGAACCACCATCCACCCCTCCCGCGCTGCTAAACAACCCGTTTCCACTGCTGCTGTTGCCGTCCGTGAACCCACCGGCTGGTGCCGGCTCGTCGCTCCAACCACCAACACGACGCCGGCGGGCGCCGCTTCCGCCTGTCTGCTCATTCTCTGTATTAGCCGAGCCTTTTGAGCCACTATTTGAAGAGAAACCCGCTGAGGAACCCTCACCCCCATCACCCTCCTCATCGTCCCATCCCCGCCGCCTCCTGCGAGAAGACCCTTCGTCCGCAGCAGCTGCCGACATAATGCTGCTGCCGCTCTTTCTGACGCTGTTGTTGTTGCTTCCAATTAAAGCTAAAAAGCAACAGAGAAAAAGAACATAAGAAACAATTCCCCGACTCCCGTAGCCGCACTGTCCTGCGGCTGCTGCTGCTGCTGCTGCAGGCGTTGTTGTTGTTGCTGCTGCTGGCAGTACTGCTTCTGCAATTGCTCCCGTAATAGCAGCAAAAACTTCACAACCCCCCACAAAAAATAATATGCCGATGCAGGGAAACAGAATTCATCATCCCCCACCAACCTCGATGCATGCAGCTACAGCGCCAGCTACAGCCAAGGCAACCCCAGCCTGCTTGGCTGCTGCTGCTACTTATCCCGACCCCACCACAGCCCCGGTGTCTGGCTCGAGTCGACGCGTCCCTCTTTCCATTTTCTTCTGGGGCTTATTTTATGTATTTTTGCATTGTTATTCGAAAGCAGCAACTGCTGCAACACCTCCTACAACACCGCAGGGGGGTAGGGGGCCCCCCGCCTCCACCCTTTCCAGCGCACAACGCTGAATCGTAAACTCGGAACACTACGCCTGACTACTACACACTACGCTGTCCACGCATTCGGAACAAATAAGCAGGCCTCACTCTTCTTTGCTGGACTTTAGCCTGCCAACCCTACTGTCTAACACAAAATCGCACACCTGTAGACGTAAACCTCCTAAGATGGATACAATAGAACCGTGCGAGACAGCTGCCCCCTTCGCGCGTCCCACCAGCTTGCCTGCTGCAGAAACCAGCAACAGCAACAACAACAGCAGCAACGCAACCACCACCAGCAGCAACAGCAACAACAACACACCCGCCAACGGCAGCAACAGCAGCATCAGCAACAGCAGCATCAGCAACAGCAGCAGGGATTCAATATGGATAGAGAAATACCGTCCCCAGACCCTCGATGACGTCGTAGGAAACGATGAAGTTTTGCAACGGCTGCGAATAATTGCATTGGAGGGAAATATGCCCCATTTGCTGCTAGCTGTAAACCCCAAACCCTAAAAGCCCAAACCCCTACATACAAGCCATCAATAAACCCTAAACATGACAGTTAGGGCCCCCGCAGCTGTTACTGTGTCTCGCAATTACGGTTTCCCTATCCCTTTTGCCTGTTTCTTTTTCACCCTTTTGCTTGTTCGAATGTTATGTACATTTTGCGTGCTGAAAATCTCATGTCTCTCTCGTCTGTCTCTGTAGGGGCCTCCCGGTACTGGGAAGACGTCCAGCGTCCTTTGCTTAGCTCGCCAACTCCTCCAAAACAAATGGCGCAACAGCTGCTTAGAACTTAATGCCTCAGATGAACGGTCAGAAAACGCCAAACCCTACAAAGTACCGCAGCTGCTACTTACAGCTAAGCATTTCAGATGGCATACTGCCAAACACTACACCTTCATTTATTCTAACGATTCATAGTAAACCATTGATCTGCGTTAGGGTTCAGTGGCAGGCAGCCAAATGGGTAACCCAAACCCTAAACTGTCAGTTATGGCATTGAATTCGCCATGAATTTATTTCCTCGTTTTTGATCATGCATAGCAACGATGGCCTCAGAGAATCGCAGCAAATCTCAACAGCACTAGCATCACGGACTGAAGCAGCAGCGTTAGCAGCAGCAGCGACAAGGGAACAACGACAACAGGAGGAGTACCACCGACGAAGGCATCAGCAGCAGGTATGGCCTCAAAATCAGCAGCAGTTAACAGTAGGTACGCACTTCTGCCTTGTGCTGTATGCAGGAGCATTGATGTCGTGAGGGATCGGATAAAAGGATTTGCAAAAGAGAAGAGAGATCTGCCGCCAGGTCGCCACAAGATAGTCATTTTAGATGAAGTTGACTCCATGACTGAGGCTGCTCAACAGGCAAAGCAAACCCTCTAAAACCCTATGCACAAACCCCAAACACGAAGCCCAATACCCACAGAAACCTTAGACTCGTATTCACCACATGGCTCAGTTGAATAACAGCCGTACTGACTCTCATACCCCGAGTTCCTAGAAACTCGAATTCACCATAGAGATAAATGTGTAAACCCTTGTAATCGGTATCAAACAGAATTTAGAAGATCCTCTTCACTAGTTATTCGTGTTGGCCGCCGTGCAGATGGAGGGTTCAGTTTGACGTTGTTGCTTCTTTTTGTGAAGGGGGTGCACGGTACAATTCTGGGCTTGGCGTTAGCATTCGGGGTTGCGATTTTCTTGTTTATGCACACCGTAGGCCTTGCGACGCATCATGGAGCAGCATAGCGACACGACGCGTTTCGCCTTGGCCTGCAACTCGTCGACTTCTGTCATTGAGCCGCTGCAGTCCCGCTGCGCGATCCTTAGATTCACCAAACTCGCAGATGCGCACGTATGGTTTAGGGCTTGGGGTTTGCGTTTGGGTGGGTAAAGGGTTTTCAGAAGATCCTGCAAGGCTTGCTCGGTTGTTAGTGTTTTCCCCCACTGCCCGAAACCAAAAGGCTTTGTGGAACTGATTTAAGGCTGGTGGGTTTTAGGGTGTCTATCGCATCTGCAGCTGGTGCAACGGCTACGGGAGGTTTGCGCCAAGGAGAATGTCACTTTTACGGATGATGGCATAGAGGCCATCGTGTTCTCCGCAGACGGCGACATGCGCAGCGTAAACCCCACACCCTAGGTCGAAACCCTAGACCCTCGTCCAGATTCGTAGAGGGTTTTAGAATAATGTGCGCGTTTTGAAGTGACCGTATGCTCTTGCCCCAACTACTTCGATTAGCTTGAGGCTAGATTTTAGGGTCTGAAGTTTGATATTTAGGGTTTGCACCTCAGGCGCTGAACAATCTCCAGTCCACAGTCTCCGGATTCGGCCTCGTCGATAAGGCAAACGTGGAAAAGGTGGATCTCTAGGGTTTAGGGTTGAGAACTCGAAGATTGATGTAAATTTATCGCGGAACGCTTAAGGCTGAGGGCGTTTGCCGTATATCAACCGCTCTGGGGTGTGAGAATATGGGTGTACGGTACAGAGAGTCGCTGCTATGGCCTAGGGTATAGGATTTTAGTTTTGTTTTTTCAGGTTTGCGATACGCCTCCCCCGGAGATGCTGCGCCGTATACTGCAGCTCTGTGTGGCTGGTGATTGGTACGGGGTGAGAGCTTTATAGTGTTTTCTGTAGGCTGCTGCTGCGGCTGCTTTTGTTTCTGGTGCTGCATTCGTCTTTGCAGCTGTTGATACTGCTCCTGCTCTTAGCGGTGCTGTGTGCGCTTTTCTTTTGGAGGTGCGCGCATAGGGGACGCAGGCTAGGTAGGGTGTAGGGTTTGTTATACGCAGGCACAGTCTGTTGCTCGCGTGATTCTGGGCTTGGGTTATACACCCTTGGATGTCGTCACAACATTAAGAGGGGTTTTGAGAAGGTCGGATGGAGAATTGCAAGAGCATCTTCTTCTCGAATTTCTCGGAGTCAGGCCAAGGGTCTAGGGTTTACGGTTGATTTTGGCTCACGTTCAGGGCTTATGTCCGGGGGCTCCAGCTTAGGGTTTCGCTATTAAGGCCTAGACTTTATGACCAGGGTTTATCGCGTTGGGTTTGTGACTCGGTTGTTGCTTTCTCTGGTTATGGACAGATTGTTGGACTGGCGCATATGACCATGGCGGGGGGCCTTTGCACAGAGCTGCAGATGGAGTGAGTTCTACTACTGTTGCTGCTGCTGCAGTTCCAGCTGACTGTTGTGGCTGAAGGCAAGTTATGTGCGTGATCGGATCTAACGACTGTTTTAGTCGTGCATGTTCTTCCTTTGAACGTAATCCGTCTTTCGCGTTTCAGGAAGATGCTGGCGCAGCTGTGCAAGGTGGCAATATCCCTGCGTCCCTCCACCAAACCCTAGACCCTAGGGTACCCCACGAACCCTAGTCCCTACCGAACTTCTTGTTTGAACCTGGGGTCCAGGTTGGACATGAGGCCCAGCTTTTTAACCAAACTCTCGGCTTCTGCAGCAGATGCCCTGGGTTTCTGTTTTTCTGCGATGGGCGTATCAAGCTAGCTCTCACTACTCAGCTAGTCGTGTTTTGACGTAGCTAGATGCCTCTGTACTAGCTACCTGTGTAGGTGCTCAGCTAGGTGTGTATCCACTTGGCTAGCTGCAACCCAGCTAGACACCCGCCGAACTTGCCGGGCAGGCGAAATTTCCAGCCACTTGTGTCTGTATATATATTATAAATAGTATTAGACTAGGTGACAGTGTAAAAATGTCCTGTCGAAGTGACACCGGCGGTGTTGTGGGTTGCTGCAGAGGAACTCATCCTTGTTTGCCTCCATTATTTGTTTGCTGCTTGTTTGCTAATTTGTTGCTGAGGTATCTGTGTTGCTAGCTCTCGTCTTCTGCTATGTTGTAGTTGGTCACTTCGCCAGCATGAAAGAAGACAAACGCAACACCCTGTCCATATCCGTTCGTTCCCCGCTAGCCTGCCCTTTCTTCCCCGCTACGATGCCGTCTCTATCCGCCTCGTGTCCCTTCCTTGCAACTAGAATTTTCAAGACAAATTCTCCTGTTGCATTTACTAGAAAGCCACAGAGTTAAGCAGGAACAGCCGCTCCAAAACAGCAGCAGGCGCAGCACCGGAGACATCCCCAGCACCCGAAGCCTTGTGGAAGGCGGATGGTGTGTGTTTGCATCTGCGTGTGCTTCTACTACTATCTGCGTTTCCGCCTTTCTTTCTCTTTTTGTACCTCCTTTCACTGGTTAGTTTCGGTTACATCTTGTTGAGGTGTTGTTGTCTTGATTAATTACTCCTCATTGACCTGCTCTGGCCCCAGTCCGGAGAAGGAGGCAACGGGCACATGCTGTACTAGAGTGTAAAACTTCTCAGCTGCATCATCTTCTTCGTTGCGTCTGCGTGAGAGCCTCACACGCACTCGCCGAGGCAGATTCCTGATGCCGTTGCTCCATATGTGTTTATTCAATTTTGTGTCAATACGGACATCCTGAAGAGAACGCAGGACACAATGAAGACAGCGAAATTGGAAAAAACATCAATATAAGCAGCACAGACAACACAAGCCAAAGACGCCCACAACCACGCACGTCTACAACAAATTCTCACAACACAAGTCGGCCGATAGATTTGGGTTTGGGGTGTCTGGGATACCATCGTGTACTATTTCGACTTGACCTGTATACCTTCTCTACACTATATATACATCATTACATCTCCGTGCCGTTCTCACATCTTTACACAAGCTTCGTACTCATTTTAAGTAGCTTTGTCACTTCTACATTATATACAGTGCAATGCCACTAAATCGTCTTAGCTACTGCCTTCTTCTTTCAAATTTAATGAATGTACTAGGCAAATCCAATGAATGTACTAGGTGCGTGCACTGGACATTAACATTCAGGTGTAGGTACACTTCACAACATATTGTGCAGCAGCACCGGTGAATACATCTAGCCAGTAAAAAACGAGGAGGTCCTCAACTACAGGGAGAAAGGAGGCGAAAGTACGATATCTTAGATACAAACCATTATATTTAGGTTTTACTTATCCTACCTTAGTGTGCATCACTTTTTCAGCGAACTTCTTGATTTCACGGATGGCGCGAGGTGCGCGCTTCTTGAATTGAATGCCGTGGACAACTTTGTGCAGGTGTATTGTGTAGTCCCTGCATGCCGGCTGCAGGGACTTGGTGGCCTTTTTCTTCCCACCTGGACAGAACAAAAAAAAGGAGTCGGCAGCTCCACAATGAATGCGAAGAAGAAGAAGCACAAGCTTCTCGCCATTAATTTCCAGACAGCCATGCGTCCAAGCATGCATAGACGCACACATCGATGCACGCGCTAATCCCCAATCGCAAGATATACGTATGGCAAGACAATAATAAAAAGGAACAGAGTGTAATGTACGGGAACCACAAGAACACGAACAACGAGGAGAATTGTAGATCATAGGAAATCGATGAATAGGTCCATGTACCAATATGATATATGGATGGGAGACATAGCCACAAATAAGAGAAGAATAAAGACAAACAAGGAAAATGGGGACGGAGAGAAGAAACAATAGTTCGTAATCCATAGTTCATACATGCAGCGCAGTATCACAACATCCGGAGTGCCCCAAGCAGCAGCAGGCTGCGCCTTCCTGCTCCGATTAACAGAATCCCTGGCAATTCCCCAACGAGAAAACCAACAACACATCACTAAAACATAAAAGCGTGCTATTGGGGAGCAAAAATTGTAGAGAGGGTCCGTCAACCTATTCTAGGGCGGCCACCTCTCCCTCACCCTTTACGACCATCTTCAAGCGCTGCTGGAGTTTGCCGTTGGATACAGCGGATAAGTCCAGCGCCTCAGAAGGAAAAAAATGGTATTTCAGAAAGTCGGCCCCGAAAGGTCTGTAGACCCGGTCCTTCGTTTGCTGCTGTTCCTCCTGCTACAGCAGCCCCAGCAGCAGCAGCGTGTGGGGTGGCAGCAAACTGGGGCTGCTGCTGTTGCATGCATTCGGGCAGCTTGCAGCAACACCACGGCGCGAACAATTTTGTGGAAAAATAAGAAAAGTGTGTGTGTCTGTATTATGTATTAAATTTTTTGCCGTTTGTGAATACAATTCTATACATGTAAACCCACTGAAAGGGACAGCGTTGTAAAGTTGCAGCAAGTATGAGACTGTTGCATCCTTGTACAAAACGCGCAGCAGTTAATTCCAAGCACTGAGAATAATGCAAATTATAATTCACCCTTTGAATAATGCAAATTATAATCTGTTAGTATTTAAACATGATATGTTGGTTAAGAGCAGAAACTTCTGGGATAGCTAACCGACGAGAAACGGAAGCAACCGGTTCACTCGTTGGTTGCTGTAATCGGGAGGGGCGAGACGTCGGTCTCTCCCCAGGCGTGTTGCGTGGTGCGGTAGAATCAAAGAGGAAGAGAAAAGAGTAATTCGCAATTAGCTACGAATTTGCCGCCTGGTTCTTGACTGTGGTTTCTTCACCGCAGCGGCCCAGGCGCCTGTAGCTACCGGAGGGGACGCAGTCTGCAATGGACTCAGACGCACCTTGCTGCAGCCTGTGCTGCAGGACAGCATCAAATGGAAGCTCTAGCAAGCCTTCTTGGCTGTATGCAATAACGCTGCATATAATTCTTTCCATTAATTGTGCAGGATGCCTACTGTGGCCGAGCCGATGCTGAGAGAAGAAAAAATACAGGCTGGTACAGATGCTACGTATAGGAGGATTTCTGCTGCTATATTCACTATATGAGCTGGATACCTCTCATTATTTGTTATATCCGGGACGAGGCTGTAGAGGCCCACATGGTGTGTCTCCTGTTGGCTGCTCTTGGAGCTTGTGCACCTAGTTTGCACACAGGACACTAGGTGCACCCGCTCCTATACACAGCACAACAAAACTGTACAATCAACTGGAATAAATGTGTCTGACGTTATTAAAAGGGAAATAAGTTAAAGCTTGGACTCAAAACCATCTCACTCAGTTTGAGGGTGCTCTTCGGGCGAGCACTTCCCTCTTGCCGAGCCCCCATTGGGTGTACGTAGAGCTAAAGAGAAATGCGTGCATCCCCACACATGCCGGCATGGATGGATGGATATTCGCATGTGGATCTACTTAACAGCATGGACCTGTGAAGGGGATTGTATTAAGAGTGGCTACTGCTTCGTATTCCGCCGGACTACACGTTGCAAGCTGCTTGTGGGATTCCTTTTGCTCCCACAGGCAATGTTAGCTTGCCGATGCACCCGCCTCTGGTGTTGCAGGTGCTTTACGTTTTCTTCTCTTTCTCTTTATGGGCCTCCCTCTCCTCCAAAGTGTGTGGTTTAAAGAGCAAATGTGACTTGTTTAGAGGAGGGGCGTCTGAACGCGCCAGAGAAGCTGCTGCCACCTCTGGTTTTCAAGGTGGTGCCTTCGGGGCCTGCTGCTACAGCTGCTTGTGCTTGGTCTGTAGGCAGTTTGCCTCTGTTTTTTCTGGCAGCCTTGGGCTTCTTTCTGTTCCTTCGGAAGCGGCTGCCAATCCCTGCATGCTCCTCTCTTCTTCCGTTTCGTCTTGCTGCTGGATCGCGCAGCTGCCCCTCCCCAGCAGACAAAGCCCCGGCTCCAGCAGACAGATGCTGCTGCTTGTGTTTCTTGTCTAAGTCTGCTCTCTCTTGTACTCGCGTGAACTGCTCAAAGTCGCCCATCAGCGTATTTGCAAACCCCTCGGCCACAGAAGCCAAGAAGTTTGATAGACCAAATAAAGGAGACACAAGACACCGCAGAACACACGCCACTAGAATTGCCGTTGTCTTCCACCAGCTGTCCCCCCTGCAGCAAAAGCGGCAGCACAGACAACACACAACTGATATTCAAAACGTCAGCATGGATCCGAAACACTTTACGCAGCAGTCAACAGACAGGCAACAACCAAAACTGAGGCCGATCCCCCACAACAAACACTGAAGGTGTAGAAAAAACGGTGCCCATCTCTCTCATATGCAAATCTGTAACCGTCTCTGTGCCCTGCAAGTGACACATAGCTGGTTAGTTTGCTTTCTAGCTAGCTGACATCGTCGCTAGACTTTCCGCTCCAGCGATTGTTGTTCTGTGGTTGCCGGTGAGTATATGTATGCAAAGCCTGGCGTTCGTTGTATTTTTTGCTGGCTGGAGAAATACGTGTGCAGCACGGTAGCTGGCTAGTCGCGCAGATACCTGGTAGCACTTGCAGCAGGTTCCGTGACAACAGCAACCCAGGGTCTCCAGAAGGTGTCCAGGAGGAATCCATTCAGTCCCTTCCAGAAAGCGTCTAAGACGCCGTAGGGGCGGGGCCTGGAGCCCCTCATAAGCTTATGTAAGATATTCAAGACGTGGGAAAGGGACTGCATGACTCCCCCCATGGTATAGATAATGAAGAGAATGAAGCCCACGCGAAATCCCATCATGAGGCCTTCGAAACTGTTGTTGTTTGTCTTCAAGCCCTTGAGTGTCTGTCTGCAGAGGGCACTGGCGCCTCTAATGAACCCCACAACGAACGCACATGGGTTGCTGATCCAGGCAGAAGGCAGCGACTGCCGGATGAACTGCCGCAGGTACGAATTGCGCAGAGCATGCAGCAGCTCGGCCCAAGAGCAAACGCTGAACTTTCTTCTTTCGCGTGCAATTTGAATTGTCATGTACGGTGTATCAAGCGGCAGCGCGTCAACAATGTGCAAAACCTGTCGCGAGATCCGATGCTCCGATGTTCGAATAGAAACCGTCAGAGACAATCCGCTAATGACCAGGCTCTTTATATACACTGGGCTAGCTCTGTGCAACTCCATCCACCGTGGGTTTGGCAGCACCAACACGTGAGACGAAGGCCGGTTTATGTACACCCGAGGAGCAGCGTAAAACTGTAGCTGCACAGGCTCCCTTAGCAACAGCAAGCTTTGAAGCCCTTCTTCGCCTCCCACAGGTGGAGCAGGCCCCTCAGGGCCTCCGTCGCTGCAGCAGCAACCCAACAGCGGCGCACCAGAACTCGTCGTGTGCCGTAACTTGTCCAGAGATAATGGGGCTTTTGAAAGGCTGTGCATGCTGGGGTGTGCCAAATCTATTGCCAGAGGATGCACGAGGAAGGCTGCTGCTGCTGCTGCTGCTGCGCCACCCCCGCTCCCGCATCCTTCAGCTCCTGCTGTTGTTGAATCCTGCCCAAGACCCCCACGGGACGAGGAGACAACGCAGCCGCAAGGCCCCCTCCCTCCTGTCCCATCCGCAACTAAAACCTGCTCTTCCCGACTCTGCTCCACAGCTTTCAGGACTGCCAACTGACGCAGAGCCTCCGCAGCAACGCTGCACTTAAGCGCTGTCTGCAGAGCTGGTGGTTTCTGCATGGACATACACCAGACGACACCGGAAAATGAGTCCATATGCCCACGTAAAAGAGATTCAGCAAACACATATATACACACAAAAAGAAAGACTCAACGTATACAGCCGTATGCACTCAAGCACACCCGCTCATGCACACAGCATAACAAGAATATGAGAGAACGGGGGACATGAAACGAGAGCCCAACAAAGACAGCGACACAGAAAGGGGAAAATATGGAGCCTAAAGGGTAGGGACAGGCAGTTAGGCAATCAAAACAAGTCAGAAAGGAAGACAGAAATGGACGAAAGCCACATGACAACACGACCCACAATCGGCCCTCGTGCGACGCAGCAGACGCCCAGAAGGTAAGAGACCAAAGAAAACAGACAGGGGAAAGGGGAAAGAACATAAAAGACAACAGACACGGGCCAAAAGGTATTAGCCAAAGGACAAACGACACAATGCCGAAGATGGGAAGGGAAAGAAATCACGATGAAGAAACTAGATAAATGAAAATGCGAGATAAGAGGTGATAAGTTCCTCTCACCTGTGGAGTTGCTACTGCGAATTTGTGTAGCATTTCAACTTCTTTTTCGTAGATACTGATGAGCTGTTCGATGACGAGAAGTTCGATGTTGGCGCTAAAGGGACTGATGCGCACTTCTAGCAGTTCGTACGTGGGAGCCTGTCTGGGATCAACCAGCGCCCTCACGACGGCCACCTCAAGGAACTCTTCTGTCTCCTTCCCGTACTTGGACGCCGTGTTCTTTAAGATGACAGGAATGTCTCCTTTCACAAAGTGATCCACATGCAGCATCGATATGCGAGCTGACAGGGTCACTAAGCTCCGTGTCTTAACCAGTAACCCGTAGTCCTCCTCCCACAACCCCCCGTGGGTCCCCCGTGTGGTCTCTCCAAGGGTCGCCTCAGGACCTGCGAGAGGACCCCCCACGGGGGAAGCTCCACGGGCGCCACTGTCGCTGCTGGAGAAACCTGGAGACCCTCTACTGCTGCTAGTGCGGCTGCTGCTGCCGTGAAGTGATTGCGACTCGGCGGTACCCGCAGGGCTTCCTGAGCTGGTCCCCCCTTGGGGTCCCCTTGCAGGCAGAGGAGAGGAACTAGCACGGACGAGGGCGTCTCCCAGCAAAGGAGAAGAAACTCTGCGTTGAGGCGATGTTGCTGTCTGCCTCATGTAACGCTCGGCAGGCACAGCATCCAGAATAACATCGAGCTGACGCGGATTGACGGATACAGCCAACGAAAGCCCCGTCAGGTGCAGAGCCAATACCTGTGCAGAACGGAACGAACATAAAAAAAACGTCGGGATAGACCTGTATTAACGCATGCAGCCGTATGTCTATAGACAGACGCAGACAGAGCATAGGCGGAGTCGCCAGCACGCAGGGCCAGAATACCGACCAACATAGAAACGGACAGATCAGGAACAGAAACAAGTACAACAAGAAAGACAAAGCACAAAGATAGAAACAGGCTGAAAGAAAGTACAGATATGAAATGCACATGGCAGAAAGACAGCTGACAAACAGCGCCGTTTAACAACGACAGACCGAAGCAAAAAACAAACAACAGAAAGAGGCAGCCAGAGAGAGACATAAACCAAGCAATAAACCCAGAAACACAACAGAAGGGGACATACAACAGACACAGGAAAGGGAAACAGGAGGAGGGAAACAGAAGACAGAGGCAGACAACAGACAAACGCAAACAGCAAACAACAAAAGCAGAGAAGTACGACACATATGCAAGCAACACCAGTTCGCTCCCCCCCCAAGAAGACTGCTACAGAGTCCCCCGGGCGTACCACTTCACTTTGGTGAATCCACGTCACTGTGAGACGCGGCAGACGAAACTCAAAAGACAAACCTAGCCAAGGAGGCGGCCGCTGCTGCTGATGCTGCTGCTGAACCATAGACCCGCGGTGCTGCTGCTGCCGAGCGATAGTATTCTCCCTACTTGCTCCAGCTTCAGGTGTACCTCCGAAGAAGCCGCCACCCCCTGGCTTCGTTCTGCCCCAGCTGGACGCAGAACTGTCTCCTGTTAGTCGATGAGATACTGCTGCTGCTGTGGAACCCACTGGCTCGCCCAGCCCAGCCCCTCCAGCAGCTGTTGCGGCGGACGCTGCTGCTGCAGCTGCAGCAGCAGCAGCTGTTGACCCTCCTTCATGCTTCCCCGCCTTTCTTACGAACTCCTCTCTGATCATGTCGAAGGCAGAACCGCCGGCGCGCAGGTTTTCTGCAACGTGAGGGGACTCTGTTATGAAGAGGATACGGCTGCCATTTGCAGCAACAAGAGAAAATAGATAGAGGGTTGACGCTGGACGGTCTCTGTTGAAACTCGACAGAGAAAGTCCAGCTCGTGGAGTCTGAAGACGCAGACTGCTGCATACAAAAGTCAAACCAACTCGCAGAGGTAGACTGGATGCATCACTTGCACCCCAGATCCCACAGCGTACAACCCAAGCTGGCGAAACACCCGTACTCACAAAAGACACTATGCATGCAGCAGGTGCAACCACGGCAGCAGCAGCGGAGATGGGCTTTTTGCCATCTCTCCTCGTTGAGTGTAAGCGTGAGTTGAGATGCGGTGTTCAACCTGCTGCAAGTGTTGCAAGGTTCTGGGGCTCCATTTGCTGCAGTGCCCTTGTCCGTTATCCCTGGCTGTCTACTTTTTCTTCCTATTTCCAAGTCCATGTCTTCCTCTATCTCCCCCTCCTCCTCCCTTCCACCTCACCGAGCGTCTGCATCTTGATTTGCGCTTTGGTCTTCTTCTGTGTCGAAGCAGGCGTCTGAAGAGAAGCCCCTACCTCCTCCAGCCGTCGCTCCCCTGGAGGTGGCGGCGAGGGTGTTGCTGCTGGCTCCCACTGCAGCAGCAGCCGCCGCAGCAGCAGCAGAAGCTGTACTGGTGAGAGTCTTTGTGGGAAGTCGCTGCACAAATTGACTCTTCCACACCGAGCCGACATCAGTAGAACGAGGAGAACCTGGCTGTTGTGGGGGGCTTCCCGCGAAGCCCTGCGGAGCAGATCCCATTACTGGCTGCTGTTGCTGTTGCTGCTGCTGCTGTTGTTGTTGCTGCTGCTGGTGAGGCACGAATTCGATAGTCTGAAGGGTTTCGTCCACTGACGCCAAGCTGTACACAGACCAGGGGCAGTGTTCCACGTCCAAAACCCGCAGCCGCACCCGAGCGTTCTCCAAGTTCTTGTGGTAGGGAGGAATAAACGGCACAGAAGCCCAAGGAGGGATCAACTGAGCAGAAGGTGCAGCAATCGCAGCATATGTAGAAAACCCCACAAATCCAGCTAATGCAAAGCAAATTCAACCAATACAACACAGAGAGCAACTGCAGAGAATGAACCGAATACAGAACATGTAGGCGAGGCACCATGCACCAGCTAGTGATCGTCAGGAGTAGGAGGCTGGCTTAGTTTTGTGTGCTGGCAGTTTGCCGTGTGCATTAGTATGCTGTTGTGACTAAGATTAAGCACGAAGGCTCGTCAGCAATGGCGACTCCATCCACTAGCCGATGCCGCTACTCACAAGCCTGTCGGCGCTGCCACCTAGTCAGGTGTCTGGGGGCCCCTGTGTCTGTCTACACTCCCATAAGTCCTCTGCAGTGCGGTCTGTGGTTCAAGTGCATCTGCTGCAATTGAACCCTTAGCCGTTGCTGCTGCTGCTGAAGTTGGTGTTTTCGTGGCTGATTGTGTGTGTCTACGGAGTGTGTCTATTGGAGGTTGAGTGCCCATACTCTGAGGTTTGCGTCCGAGTCTCCTCTGCCCTTTTTTGCAGTGGTCTTGGGTTGCGGTCCGCTGGTGACAGGAATGGCGAATGAGTCCTCCTCTCTGTTGGTTTGCTGGTTGCGTCTGCTGCGTTCTGCTGGAGCGTGAGCAAGGAAGTAGCTGGTGAGGTTAAGAATAGCGAACTGGGGGTTTTCTGGAAGCGACAGGACAATAAAGCTGCCATTGTAGGTATACGGGAGGGCAGGAACGTCTCCAAAGAGGCCAGACACAATCGAGACCTGCACGATGGGGCAGTGCTCGGGCAGGTACACCTGGTGGTCGGCTTGCTTTGGGATGAGCTCGACTTGGAAAAAGGAGGGCACGTGTGCGGGTACGAGGGAGAAGGGGAAGGAGACTAGACACCGATCAGTGTGCATAAGCAGCACGCGCGCCTCCACGCCATGAAACGCCTTCGTCTCTCCCGGCAGCAGCGACAGTTCGCAAGGACTTCCCTTTTGACGGCCTCCCATGGCGCTCCCCAGGACGCGGCTGCGGCTCCTCACTTCTCGCACTACCAACGCAAAAGGTAGGCGAGAAATGAAGACGTAGCGGGGAACTACGCTTACTATCTTCGTCGTGGAGTACGGGGCTTCTCCGTACCTAGTGCAAAGCCCCAGAACAAGAGTCGACGGACTGCTGCTGCTGCTGCTCCGAGGAGCAGCAGCGCCCCCACCAGCTGTTGCTCCCCCTGCAGCACTTGCTGCAGCTCCTGCAGGCGCCACGTCGTCGGCAGCAGAAGCAGAGATGTCAGTTGTGGCATCTCCAACGAATAAGCCATCCTTCTCTGTGCTTTCCGTCTCTCTCAGGTCCCCTGGAGGAGGTAGCAGGTGCTTCTTTCGCAGTAAGAAAGATCGGCCCTTTCCTAGGCGCCGTACCCTCCGCTGGACTGTCATTCGAAACGACTTGGCGCGGCGACTGCCTCTCAAAAAGCCTCTTTCTTCGGCCTCTCCCCCTGCACTCAGCAAATCGGAGGGAGACCGACTTACCCCAAAAGCGGCAGCTGGCCGCTGCACACCAAAACGACCGCCGGCCCCACCTTCACCGCGCAGAGGTGCCACCGCGTCGTCGTCTACAAAGGAATCTGTTGAGGACTGCATCCACCAGGAAAAAGGGGACAATACAACAACCGTAATGGTTATCACGTTGATTACATGAATGCGCTGGGATTAATGCTCCCACAGAAAGGCAGACAAACATGTTGCAAGCACTACACAACAGGGTGCCGGGAAAACAATACAAGCAAACAACGAACGATGTACTGTAACGATTACTCGCTAGAACAAAGGTGCTGAAGGGGAGGAGGGCAGCGCAAATGCACAGACAACGGATTTACTAACAAGCAGGTAAACAAAATAAGTGAAGCGACATCACATATAACACAAGTAGACAGCCGAAAACAACAGACGGGCAAACAGCCAACAATGAAGCATCAGACTAGCACGGGACAGCCACGAAAAAGCTTAAACATCAGGACAAGAAGACACGGCCATAAAACACACGTCACATTGGGTGTATAAAGTCGCTGGAAAATAGAGTAAAAGGGGAGCACGAGAGAGTTAGCAGCTGCTCCCCAGTGGAAACAGTTAGCAGCAGCAGAGATGAGCCCGACCGGGGTGGCTTTCAGCAAGGGGAATTCAGCTCGCGATGTGTCTCCCTGGATGTCGGAACCTCCCCCTAACGTCTGCTGTCTCTCGGTGTCTCCGTGGTTAAGAGAAGACGTCACAGAGTCCACAGACCCCCCTGCCCCAACTAAGCCGCACAGTGCACCAGCACGCACACAAGCAACACACAACTATCAACTACCCAGCTCATATCAGGTTCAAGCGTCTTGGCAGCGTAAGGATACACACGACGTGTGTCTTCATCACCAGCGAAATAATAGGACAGGTATCTGTAAAGGCACTGGAACTCACGAGGCATATCCGTGGCGGGCCCCGGCTGCTCCCTCCCAGCAACAGAGGTCGTACGGTGAGCCCAGCCGAAGCGGATATACCGCTGCTTCCGCAGTGGCGCTAGCTTCAGAACAAGGGGCGGCCTGCAGCAGCACAGGAGCCAGGAACAGCAAGAGAATGAGAGTTGACACTGTGTCCCTGTCCAATCTCTCCGTCTGCCTTTTCATGAGGAAAGAAGCACAGACGCTACAGCTGGAGGGGACTAGGCACCTCCAAGGGCTGCTACTCGATCTCAGATGAAACACAGGGTTAACAGGAGACAATGGGATCACATAGGGGGGGTAAACCACACAAAGGCACTGAGAACCCAGGAAGGTGGCACCACGTTCACTCGCTCTGCTCTGCCGATGCATCCAGGAATTGCTCTTTACGCGTATCTCCCGCAGATGTTTGAAGGGTGGAGAGGAGAAAGAGTGAGATGGTTGCAAAATGCACTGCAGCTCTCAGCATCCGAATATCTACAATTCGCTGTTGCTACTTTACCTGGCAGTGGAGATGCCGGAGAGGTCGTGTTTTCGGCTGAGAGGAGATTGCAGTACGCGGTCTGAGAGTAGGTCGACTTTGTAAGCGCGGATGGAGGCGGCCCGCATGTCTTCTTCTGTTGTGTAGAGTCGGCAGCGGCTAGGGACGAGGGCGCCGTTCACGGAGACGGTTGCATCTGTCAGGTTTTCGAAGAAGTATGGAGCAAACACTGTTATTTGCCGTCTGCTAACGTCTGCTGCCAGTTGCATTTCCGAAAAGAGAGGCGGCATCCGCTTGCCCCGGCGCGAGTTCAGCCCCTCCGCCTTGAGAAGCTTCAGTGCTCCAGGAGGGAGCAGCGATTCACCCCTTCCGTCCTTCAACTGCAGCACTTTCGAGACAGTTAACGTGTCTTGTGTGGGAAGCAGGACAGCGAAGCCCTGGGACTCATACACCGTAGCGGGAGGCTGGTGCTGCTGTTGCTGCCTCTGCTGCTGCTTTCTGGCACGCCTCAATTTCTCCTCGCGGACACCTGCAGCACCACCCCCTCCACCGCTTCCGTTCATGTTCACCTGGCTCGCCGTGCCGTCAAGAGTCTCCTGCTGCAGCAGCCAAGCAGTACCGCCTAGCCCTCCCGTCAGGCGAGGGGCCCCTCTTGTTGCTGCTGACGCCAACAGCTGCAGCTCAAGTGGTCCCAGGGGCCTCCCATCTGTGGGGTTGAACGCCTCAAGCTGCGTGTTGAACTGCTCCAGAGGGGCTCCATGCACACGCAGCACCAGCCACAGCCTCTGCTCCCCAACAGGCAGTCCCTGATGCGGCAAAAAGGAAAGACATTGCTCAAGAAGCCACATTGCATGGGCCAGACAGACCGTTAGGGACCAGGAGGGGGAAAAGCACACACGTGCCCTGCTGTAGTGACAAGTTGCTGCGTGCAGAGCTGATGCACGTTCGAAACCCAAAGGCACCCATGGAGTCTGGCAAGCAAAACTGCAGAACAAGGTCCCACACAGATGTTCAAGAGGCTTCTCAGGTGCATCTGTTGTATTCAGTTTATTGCATTGCCAAGCAAAGCCATGCCTCCACTCCATACCGCCGATGATGTGCACTTCCGGTGGAACTAGGGTATGTAGCAACAAAAGAGAGGAAAAATGGAACAAGAAATGCACAAGAGGAGACAGGGACAGTGGCGTCGCTCACCCAACTTTGATGGGAGGGAATTGTGGCTTCAACAAAATTGTCTTCTACAAGTTTGGCAGCCGTTCCTCTCGACTTTTGTTGCATTTCTTCTTCTTTTTGTCTCCTTCTGTTCTCAAGTTCTGCGAGAAGCTCGGCTTGCGGGTTCCCAATGCCGTAGCGCAGGCGCCTCCCAGAGTAGTCTGTGGCTGAAGCATATCCGTCTGTTGCTGCTGCTGCAGCTGATGCATGTAGCGCCGCTGTAGCTGGTGCGGTGGTTTGGGTGATACCCTGTCCCTGTTGAGGCTCGTGTAGAGGGCGTCGGTCGACAGTGTTTTTCAGGTGTACAGACACCGTAATGGGGAAAGGCAGCGTGTTCTTGATGCTGAGCATCGGCTCCAGCTTAATGACGTACCGCTGCGCTATCCGTGCTGCCTCCGAAGTCGGTACATCAGTTGTGTCCACTGCTCCATACAGCATTAGCGAACTCCGCAGACGCAGAGTGAAGGGTGGGATGTCAAGCCGCCGCGGTTGGGTGTCTGAGGCAGTCAGTGCAGCAGCAAACCAACAACAGCCACAACAAAAGCAGCAAAGATTCACTTTCCTAAAGATACCCGTCCAGCAACCTTCTGCTTCAGAGTGTGTGCAGTCAAGTATGTAAGAACTGGAAGCAACACTAACTGGACCAGAACAGAAAGGACCACCAGCGTAGGGTAGCGTAGACACCGCGCTGCTGTAGGTGCCTCACATCCAGTTTTATTTGTCAACTTGTAGAGAGCGTAGAAAGGCACAGGAGGAATTTCAGGTTCCCCTACTCCCTCTTGTGGGGGGCCCCCTCCTTCAGTGTGGAGCAGCGCAGCCAACGAAGGCACCGTGCCGGTGCCAAACCATGAGAGGGGCACCGAGCGGCGGCAGCCTGGCAGGATGTCTATGAACTCTTCTTCCGCAGAGGAGACGCGGGCATCTCCTGTGACACGGGCTGCAAAGCAAGAGATAGCCCTCCCGCCCCAGTTCCTCTTTGCCTTGCCCACGTACACACGAAGCGTCATAGCACAGGCGTTCGCCAGCTGGACGCAGCTGCCCACCGCCAGACTCCACGTGCCGTTGCGCCGGTCCACCACCGGTTCCACCAACACTTTAAAACCGGCGTTCTGCAGGAAGTAGGCCCTGCAGTTCGAGTAGTCCGCATGCAGACGTCCCAAGCAACACCAACCCGCCTCCTTGCGAAGCAACTGCAGCAAACCCTCAAACCCCTGCCGCTTGCTCAAACTCCCACTGCCCTGCAACACCGGCATGTCGTCAACCAGCAATTCAAGCGGCGCTTGTGCTCGACGAGTGGACGAAAATAAAAGTGTTTCTTCCTGCACAATGAACAGGCAGCTCAACAAGTCTTCGTTTGGTGCAGATGTGTCTACACTACGTGCAGCGCTAAAACAACTGGAAGGCCCGAACACGTGAGTGGACGGGAAACCAGAAGAAAAAGACAACTATCAATAAGTAATGTTATCAGGCAACGCTCCAGCCCCACAGTGACACAGTAGCAACGAATAAAGCACCACCACCCTCACATATTACACCCAAACAGCAACAGCAGGAGCAGCAACAGCAGCAGCACCAGCTGCAGGTGAGCCCCCTTGCCTACATAAGCTTTGAGCCACGGGTTGTCAACTTTGTGGGTTCCCAGTTTCAAGAGTCCCTCGACGATATTCCGCACGTCATCGTACGACTCGAGACGCAACGAGGGATGCGTCTCGCTGATCTTGTCAGGGCCTGCGCCCCCCCGCCTCCAGGCCCGCCGCCTCTCGGGGGCGGCCTCTGAAGTGGCGGTCTTCTTCCGCACTGCGAAGTACAGTGAGGACGTCGGCGCTAAGATCCACTCGTTCGGCTGCACTCGCGAATACGTCCACCTGCGCAGGCAGTAAAAACAGAGAGCACACATGTCTATGCAGCCGACTTCGCTGCAACGCTAACTGAGCAGAGCCATTGTGAATGCAAGCATATTGCCACCACATGATCCCCACATTCAGAAGCAAACACGAATGTCTTTCACTGGGCTCTAACCATCTCCATATCTGCTAGGCAGGGATACAGTTGGGGTGCGCAGACGGAAGACAGAGCCTTGGAAGTGCAACGGACCCTCTGGCGTCGCCTCTCGATCTGCGACGGTGCATAACGAGTACTTCAGCGTGTATGTCGTTGTAGACTCTGAGACTGGTGTGTCTGCCGAGGTTGCCTTCGACTCCCTCTAGGATCTCCCGCGTGGTTCCCATGATGTGGTAGACGAGCTGCAACAGGCCGGAGGTGATGTCTACGGACACCCCATCCATGGCGCTGCGGACGTTCACCAGACTCCAGTGGCTCGTCTGCGCATCTACGTATTGTCTCTGGATCTCAACAGAAGCCGATACAGGATGCAGCAGCTCCTCTTGTGAGTTAGTCATCGGGTCGTACCCAGACACCATCAACTCCAGCCGGCCTCCAAAGCTCTTAACAGAATCTACACTCCAAAGCTCCGGGTGTACGTACACCTGGCCCTCCAGTGCCAACAGACTAACTTTTAAAAGCGACCCATGGGCGTCATGAAACTCAAACGCCCCCTTCACAACTTCCCCCTTTATTTCAAATTGTGTTTCCCCAGGAAGCTTGAAGCTCATTAAAGACAGAAAGAAACCAATTACCTGACAATAAGGATCTCTAAAGTCTTCCTCCCCCACCCCCTGCAGCAATGCCACCGGCATGCATGCGCCCACATCTCCAGGGCCCCATGTAGTGCCCCCCTCTATAATACCCATGCCCCTGCGCCGCACAAGGCCGGTTCCGCGGGCCCCCTCCTCGTCCTGAAGCAGATCGTCGACGGTTCCGTGCAGCCCCTTGCCGTAAACATGCTGCTTTGCTGCTTCTTTGTTGCCAGCAGCCATCAGATTCGCAAGCAGCAGCAACTCAGCTGAGCCCACAGCCTCCTCGTCGTCCACTCTTTGAAACGAGTTCCCGGGGTCCCGATAGGCCAAGCTTTGGTGCGGTTGCTGTTGTTGAAGAGACGTCTGCTGCTGAGGCGCTCGACGCTGCTGCAAGCTCGACTGCGTTTCGCTTTGCAGGTGCTGCCGAGACACCCCATCTGTAGGCCCCCACGATAACGACTGCGTTGTCGGGGCTACTGGGGACTCGATGCTGCTGTTGCCGCTTCCGCTGCTGCTGCTGCTTCTGCTGCTGCTCAGCAACGATGTAGCTTCATCATTTTGCTGTGGGTGTGAGTTGGTAGAGATTGCCTTCATCTCCTCAAGAGCCCTCCCTAAGGCACCCCCCCTGCGCTGATGGTGCAGCCTCACCAAATCCATAGCCCCCACGATAGGGGCCTGACCTCCGAGGTCTCCTCCCCTGCCGCTCCTGCCGCCCCCCTCCGGCACTGCCCAGCCAAAAAGGGGCCGCTGGCGCTGCTGGGACGCTGGCCCTGCTGAGTCTCGTAGAGAGAAGGCGTAGTCCCTCAAGAAGCGCAGCAAGCTTCCTTCTACCGAAAGGTCTCCTAGAGAGACGGAGTAATTCGTCACCCGCAAGGAAGATGGGTGGCCACCTAGCGCGGCAGCACCCCCTTCAGCAGCAGCAACTGGAGATGCCGGAACTCCTCCAACCAATGATACCCCTGGTGAGCACTCGGAAGGGCCAGTGCTGCGCTCGGACTCCGTTAGTTGCAACGAACGCTGTGCCTTATCGGAGTTAGGCGATGCTGTGTCCTGCTGCTGAGTCGCTCTCCATGTTGCAGAAGAGGGGGAAAGTTGAAGGTCTTGCTCTCGTATTGGCTGTTGCTGCGTCAGTGCTATAGCAGCAGCTTCTGCTGCTGCTGCTGCTGCTGCCACAGCAGCCTTCATGGCTGTCATTGCTGCTGCTGCTGACTTGGAGACGTGCAGCTGCTCCAACCTTGCCTGCGTCTCCAGGCTTACGAGGCCTTGAAACATTTCAAACGAAAAGTGGACTTGAGGGTCCAAAATTGTCATGCAAATCTTCGCCTTCCCTCCCGGCGTGCCTGCGCACACAAGAGAAGCAGATGTACATTTGATACGCATAGTGCATATTATGTGTATACACATTTATTCTTTTGCTGCGTATCAAGCCCATGCACGCATGCATGCACCATCAGGCATCCCGTAGTGGCGACAGAAAGAAGCCTTCGTACGTTGAGGACTGCAACGTGATAAGCAACCAGTTACGGGCAAGACGCGGCAACTGGAGCAACAGACGCAAGCCCTTAGCGTGTGTAACTTGTTCCCTGACGAGCCTACCGGAGATGGTAGCGGTGCAGGTTGCTACTGATAGAAGACAGTCAGTGCGCTGTTGAAGATTGGGCAGCAATAAAGCCCCTCCGTATCCCTCAAGGATATCGGGAAAGTTGACCAGAACCAGAGACCCCTCATCCTGTGCTGCCACAGGTTGCCTGTCGACTGGCGACAGCTCCCTACCGTGGCCTAGCGATGCAAGTGTCGTGTGCTTCAGAGTCTTAGACGCAGTTACCCCCTCCTCTTGCTGCTGTTGTTGTTGCTGTTGCTGAAAGCCCTGCGAGAGCCCCGGGGACTTTGTGGGAACGATGAACTCCGTACACGGGAAAGGCGACCCCACCATGGCACTCAACTCCACAACTTCCACAGAGGCGCTCACATCAGTGCCTCGCTGCAGAAGCCGCAGAGTGCATGCAGCGAGAAGGCCCACAACAATCTGCTGCTTCCGTCGATCGTCGTAGTTCTCTTCCTCTACGCATAACCCGGTCTTGTTGACAGCAGTCTGGAGGACCTGCAACCATACCCGCAAGAAGCAGCAACGCTCACCATTCCCTTCTGCAAGCCGATTTATGCCAAAATCCGCGAGATTCAAGCGAATGTTTGAGTTAAGTGCATGCACAAAAACATTCCTCCTGGGAGTGGAATCCGTCAGGCTGTGAGCGTATCAACTATTGTTGCGCCCTGCTTACCTGCATCAACGTCCTAACAAAGGGCTGCCCCTTTACCATGTTCTGCGACGCTCCATCTTCAGGGGTCTCGTCGAGCACCCGTGTGCTTGTCATGGCGGCGAGGGACTTCAGACCAGCCTAAAAACCACACCACCAATGCACCCCAAAGCACCCCCTAAGGAAACCGCCACAATGCAGAGTTACTTAATGCAATTCCTTACCTCCTGCGCTCTGCTTCCGATAGAGAAGGGGAGCGTTCATGCATGCATGCGTGTTTGCACTTCTCCGATCACCAAATGTGTATTACACAGACAGCAGAGTGTTCACGCCAATGATCACGACATTCCGTTGCATTTCACCAACTATGGACCCAAAAAATATGCATGCACGCTCTGAGCACATATTACGACACCACGCAGAACCCAGAATGAATGTGGCAGCAAATCAAACACGAAGATGCAGCAGCAACTGACTTTGCTCCCCTTCTTCAAAGACGCGATTCTGGCGGCCTTGAGGTGCCCTGTGCTCCTGCGATCGGTGCGCTGCGCAGCGATGAGGTCTCCCTCGTCTGCCTCTGCAGCCCCTAGAACGAACCAAATTTCAACTCCCTTGACTGTCAATTCAACCACTTTCTGCAGTTTTGCCCCCAACGCAGCCGCCTCCAGTGGAGACAGAGCAGCAGCCGGCGGAAGCGCCTGCTCTGTGGGGACCAGGGTTGCCGTTGCGGGGTCCCCTTGTCCCGAAGGCTTCGAGAAGGGAGGCAAGTGGAGAGACGGCCCCGTCAGCCGCCGCCGCTCCACGCGAACTGCATGCAATAAAACCCGAGTATCCCAAACTATGAGAGCCTCCTCCCGTTACGATTCACGCTGCTGCCCGTCACACTGAAGCTATTTGATTGTGTGGTCCGTGCAATTTGCCTCGCTACCAACGGTACAGCGGCAGCGCCCCAGACTTACCGTTGGGCAAACCGGAGGTAGAAGGCGATACGTGCGGTTGTGGTCCCAGTGGACGCTTGTCCAGCGGAGAGGCGCTCAGAGAAGACACTGCCGAAATGCTTGAGCCAGAGGAGCGCAGCAACAAACGGCTGGCTCGACTCTTTGGGCTCCCAGACCCAAATTTTGTCACAGAACCCCCACTAGAAATTGTGTCAACCCCACGCCGTCGTCGGCAGCAAATAAAACCTGCAGCGCAACAGGCGATGCTCAGGCAGGATACACAGAATACGTCCAACATGGCGCATCTACGCAATACGTGACATTATATATATATTCGCCCAGCTTCACACTGTGCTCAACAACTGCACGCCATCCCTGACTGTCTGAAGCTGAGTGAAAACGGTGTTGGTCCCACCGCAGAAGCGGCTCCAGATGCCCTCCGGGGCCTTCTTGGGAACCGCCAGACTGCTCTCTCGTTCTGCATCATCTGGGGAGTTGCGGAGACCTTCAGGGGAGGACGAAGAGTGTGCGTCGCTGGCTGAGGGGTGATGCTGCTGGGGAACTGTCGCTAAATGTCCCGTTTTGACGGACGTGCGCAGGTCCCCATAAGGAGACGCCTTGCCCAAGGGCAACCGAGCGAACGATGCCTCCGCAGAAGCAATGCCAGGGGGAGACTCCGTTGTTGGCGAGAGGCTGCGCCCGTACACAGGGCGTCTTCGGCACTGCGCAGAGACAAAGAGTCGGCAGTACGCAACGCCATGCAATCAGCAAGCAAACATCCCATGTGTGCACCTGCGTAAAGGCCTTATGCCCGGGACTGCACCCTACTGTCTCTCCATTTGACACACGAAACGCGCGATGGAAAGGGAGGGGAGAGGAAGAGACAGACAATGCAGCCTAGCAACAGGGCTTTCAGTAATCGAGTAGATATGTGTGTTGCACGAATGCTCTTCAAGGTTATTGCTTCAAATCAGGGGGGAGCAGACGAACGCAAACAGCCATACCGGTTGCTGCAACATGCCAGTCTGCAAATCGGAGTGGAGCTGAAAGAGGTCTGCCGTTTGCAGTCTCCAAGGTGCGGACACAGCCGTTGTTTCTGCGGTTGTATTCGCTGCTGCAGCTGCTGCTTCACGTGTCGCTGCATCATCCTCGAGCACTTGCAACACCCGTTGGATCGACATGGAAGCCGCCATCGCCGGCAGCTGCAATGGCAGCAACCCGTTCCAGTCGTCCGGGGCCAGTGCTGGTGGGTGTAAGGCGGGGTAGAGGAGAGACAGCAACCCGAGCCCACGCCGATGCAACAGTAGAGACTTGCGGATGGTTTGCTCCTCATCTTCTTCTTCGCTGTGCCTGTGATGATGCTCAGGGACAGCAGAAGACGGGCCCCTTGCCTGCAGCTGGGCTACCCGCAGCAGCTGCTGCGCGTTGACACCGATGGGGACCAACCAGGAGGCTGTGGAGAAACAGCAGCCGAAACTGATAGCAGGGAACTGCAGCCGGAAGTGTTTCAGCTGCTGGACGGCCCCATACAAGCCAATGCCCCAGGCGTACACGTTAGCCCCTTGCAAGGCACGCAGCTGCACCCGCAGGTGTGCCATTTCCGCCGAAACAAATATCACCCCATCAGCTACCCAAGCCAGACACTGCAGCAGCGGGTCCTGCAAAGGCATCTCTGAAATCAGCGCCTGACGGAATGCCAGACGCGTCTTCTGTGGGGCGCGGCGGCCGGAGGTCCCCACTCCCTCTCCAGCAGCATGGGCACCAGTTGGGCTGGCGTTCCCTGCAGCAGACTGCGAAGGCGCCCCTGCTGCTGAGAACTGATTCTGCTGAGTGTGACTCCCCCCAGCACTGCCCCCAAATTCACCCGAGAAGAGCTTGGGGACTACGGATGCGTTTTGCAGGAGGCGGCTTCCATCTTCGCCTCGGATTATGCAATCGTGGAGCGACATGACCACGCGGAAGGGGCTGACTGGAGAACGGAGGACCCCATCAGAGCTCCCCCCGGCTCCCTGCGTTGCTTCAGTATCTGCTGTTGCAGGCCTACCCAGGAATGCTGTTGAGCCGAACAGCCGCCGACTGCCACCCAATCCGTTTGCCGGTCGGTGGTTCTGAAGGGTATTATCAGGCGCATTTTTCTCGGAGACAAACGAGAGTTCCAGTTCTTTCAATAGTACCTCCAACACGCAGTTGGGCTGGCGGGGAGCCTGCTGCTGCATCGTTCCCTGAGATTTGCTGTACACAGCTGCTTCTTCCAATTTGCTTCTACGCATCGGGCCGCAGGCCTGGGAAAGCGCAATTCGGGGAGAGGTGTCGTGAGCGACTTCTTGCGCCGATGACACTGCATCGTCTGGTATACGGGGCCTCTTGAGCAACTCCAACCTCAAGAGCGGCACTGCGACTTTGACTGACCCAAACGCTGTTTCGTGCTGCATCCCTGTTGCCGAGAGTCTGTCCAGAGGCGACGCATTTGCTCCAGCTGTAGAGGAATAGGCATGGGGATTGTTGTGAGGTTGCTGGTGAATGTAAGAGGACGACCCGTGTCTCGATCCCCGCGTGTCGAAGGGTGTGGCACCAAAGCGGTTGTTGAAAGTGGCAGAGCCTAAACCCGCCCCTGTGGGGGCGGCAAAATGGGCGTGCCATTTGCGCTGCTGCGCCTGTTCAGCAGAAGGACATGCTGGGTTTTTCAGTCCTTTGATCGTAAGAACCAGGTCGACGGCGACGCAGGGCGACAGCGGCGCGGCAGTAAGGCAACACAGGAAGTACGTTGCTTCTGCAGTTAGTGTCCTGCGGAATGTCGTTGTAGGCAGCAATCGAGTGGTGGCGGGAACGGCGGGCAGTGTCAGCAGCTGGCATGGGGAAGGCAGCGTTAGCTGGAGAGAATGAATGCACAGGGAACCGAACGAGTCGTGCATCAGCCGACGAAGAGCAGCGCGCAACGCAAAGCCAAGCTGCAACAGAGAGCCCGGAAGTGGCCCCCATAGCCGTTTGTCAACCTGTAGGAGGGCATCCTCTTTCTTATCAGAAGACGCCATCGCTACACCTGTGCCGACCCCTTTATCGGCAGTCGGAGAGGCAAACGGTGTGCCCGGTGGGGCATTAGGTGCTGCTAACGGTTGCTGCTCGTCCTGTTGCTGTTGTTGCTGGTGTGCTGTTACTGCTGCCCCCTTGGAGGAAGCAGAAATGGTAGTTGATGCTGCAACGAAGTCTGGGTGGTTCGCCAGCGTCGGCAGGCACCGCACTGCAGCGCGCGCTGTCTCTGCTGCTGCTTGCTTCTGTTGCTGCATGCCCCGGCGGATGGCTTCTAGACCCATCGAGAGGCGCGACAGCACCGCGGTCATCTCGCCGTCCCTCCCAAAGAGGCGCACGAATGCATCAACCTGCAAATACACCCAAACGTAGCACTGATCAGAATACAGTATCTCTTGCGCTAGGCTTCGCCTGCTACAACACTTTGTGTGACCTTTTTTGACTGTTCCTCGCGCTACGAGCAGGAGCTGCTATGCGCCAGATATCGTTTCAACTGGAGGGCCAACGAGCAGTTTCATATGCGTGGAAGTAAAATCAGGTCATCAACTATCCTTACAAGGAACGGTGTGCAAGCACAGAAGGTAGGGAAGATATCGCCCCTGCAGACAATCCTGGTGTCCGGGAGGCCTCCTCCATCAGGCGCGCTGCAGTTGTTGACTAATGATTCGGCAGTGTGAGGAGAAGAAGACGAGTTGTCTACCAGTCTGTACATAAGCGAGATGTGCGGAGAGACGTTCGCGACGCCCCGCAGCTTCTCCGTAGCAGCCCGCTTCTTCCGCTGCTCTTCTTCCTCGACGTTCACGCTGAAGGGCCCACCAGCCAGAGCAGCCGCAGCTGCTGCGGTCATCGGCGCACGTAGGCCCGGAATTGCCCTAAGCCCCCCTCCCGCTGCAGTCAAGACCCCTTCGCGTCGGTCTGCTGCACACAAAGAGCACGCCACAGAGAAAACCGAAGCCACCATGTGACCTTGTCAAGCAAACGTCTGCCCTGTTCGGGTGCGCGGAGCTCGCGTGAAGCTGTTTGAGAGGGGCCCCATATCGGATGCTTTCAGCTTGAAACCTTCTGTCCCCCTTATTAGTTACGCCTACACACAATCGGCCCTGCTGTTGCTCTTTCTACCCCCTCGTCACGAGAATCTCTCGACTGGTCTGACCCGCTGAGCGTTCCTTCTGACGGGCGAAAGCTTCCGAGTCCACGGAACTCTGGGCCTCCTCAAGGCGCCGTTGTAGAAGGCCTCTCTCGGTCTTGGGTGCGGCACGCAGCAGCACCGGCAATAACAGGACGCGTCCCTCTTGTGCTCTGACGTATCCACCGAATGGGGGAGGCGAGGGCAAGGAGACGGAAAGCCAGTCTTCCGTCCACACCTCCCCCAGCAGAGCTGTGAGATGCTGCACTTCCTCTGCTGCCTTGCTGAGGCCCATTCTGTTGCCGTTTCTCTTGCTCCCGTCCGCTTCCTTTGTTGTAGAGGGTGCGCAGCTTGGCCCAGATTCTCCGGAAGCACCGCTGGCCCTTCGAAATCCGTCGAAAGCCAGCCAGTGGGCCCCGCTGGGAGAAAGCTTCCGCACGCCTCTATAGACACGCATGCGGTGAGCAGGCAAGGGGTGACTTCTGGAGCTGACGCCGGCGACGCTGTCGCCTTCTCTCACATCCGTATCTGCTCCAGTTTGCGGTAGGCCAGCCGCACTGTCTCTGAGAGGGGCATCCTCGTGCCTCCTCGATCGCTCAAGAGCCAGAGCTGCAGCTGCTGCCACAGCTCTGCACGGATTCGCTGCTGCTTTGCTGTCCTGTAGGTATACCGCACTCCAGATGGCGACACGTTTGACTTCCACGTCAATGGCCGTGCAAGTTAACAGCTCTCGTTCTTCCTCCCACTCTCTTCTATGTGGTTCGCTAGCATCTGTTGCGCGGCGGCCCCCCCTCCTGCCTGAAGTCCCTCTCGCTGCTGCAGGTTCTGATGGAGCTCTTTGTCGCGGTTCTGCAGATGCGCGGCCCAAGTGCAGAGGCGTGCGGTCATGAGGTGGGCGTTGGATCAGACCAAAGCCGCCCAGTCCCACGCTGACAACGCACACAACACACAGCTGTCACCGTCATGTAAGAGGCAGAAGCCTAGGCGAACACTACGAGGCTCTAATCGATCCTGAACTCTCTGCGCACAACCGAATCAATGCACCACATGCATCCTCTCAGCGAGATACTGAGCAGACCCGCTGTTCCCACCTGGGCATAGCACTAAAAGCCCGCACGCTCCTCAGTGTCGCTAGGTTATTAACCGGTTGCGGGCTTTGAGAGGTAACTAGTCTCCCACTGCTGCGCCGACTGATTTGTCTCGCAGAAGGAGACTGAAGAGGCCGGGGAGCAACAGCGCCTTCGCCTTCAATGTTATCTCTCAACACAGCATCTCGGCCCTTAGGCGGGCTGCAGGGAGGTCGGCCTGGATCTCCACTATTCAGCGTGGAGATACTGCGGCGTGTCCGCAGCAGATTGCGTGTCCAGCCTGCCGTGCTGCCGCCCCAGCGCGCAGGCGAAGTCCCCGCAGCAGCAGCTGCAGGCTGCTGCTTTGGGCGCACCTGCTCGCCTACATCCGGCTGGTACCCTCCGAAGTACATCTCGCCGTCGGTGTAGTTCTTAGGCTCCGGTGCTGTGTCGCGGCGATCTACGGAGCTGTCGAGTTCGGCGAGACCGGGGCCCCTCAAGTCAGCAGCCGGTTGCATGTGAAATCCCATCTGGGGGCTGCTACCTACTGGACTTGACGCTGTCGCCAAGGCGTTGTTCTGAATGTTCTTGGACCCAAAGACCCAGCGAAACAAAGATGAACTCCCGCTGCTTGGGAGGCGGCGAGGCACGTTCACAGAAAACCGCCTCCGCATATTGTCCCCATCAGCGCAACTGTCTCTTCGTCGTGCGAGACCCCTCGGTGATCCCCCTTCCCGTGTCTCCTCCTGAAGACCCTCGCACGCCGCCCCTCTCCCCTTCCTCTCATATCGCGTTGCCTGCAGAGAGCCGTCGGCGCTGACGTATCCTTCAGCCAGGCCCATGCCGCCAGTCGCTCCCCTTTGCTGTCCCCAAGGGCTTAAATCATGAGGCTTAGGGTTTCTACGTGTCTGCGTCTCCCCTACCCGGTTGTCTCCACCACTTTCTGCTGCCCATAACGCTCTCCGCAGCGCCCCCGGGGTATCTCCTTCGTCATCAGTTGCGTCCTCCGCCACTGCATTGAGGCGCGAGGTGCGCCAGTAAGGCACCTCTGACTCCGCTGGGGCAGCAGAGCGCCAAGCAGAGGTTTTGGAGCCCCCTCCCCTGGCCGGCCCTGCTGCCACGCGTTTTCGTTTGACGGGGAGCAGCCGGAGACACTCGGCCCCGAAGTTGGCATCGAACAGAACTGCACTAGCAAGGGTCCACGTGCAATTTCTGACTAGAGTAGCCTCCAGGCGCCAAAGGCCGACTCGCAAGGTATCCTTAAGCTCCTCACGCCTTCTGCTGCAACTGCTGTTGCCGGTAGGGACGCTAGTGTAGGTTACCCGCATGACAGCCTCCAGCCGCACCCCAAGAGCAGCAAAATCTGCCACAACGGCTCTGCGAAGCGAAGAGTCCCCCAGCAATCCATCCCCCAAGGCAGGGGCTCCGCGAGGGACACAGACGTCTGGCGAGAACAGTACTGGGTAAGGAGGAAAAGCAAGCCCCGCGTCTCCTTCTTCCGCCCCCTCATCAGTGGAAGCGGTAGAGGTGGTGCTGCCCAAGTCCCTGTTGCAGCTGCTGGTGCTGCGCCTGCTGGTGGAACCGCTGACGGCAGCTTTCTGGCCAATGTTTTGTCTGCTTCGCAAAGTCTGCTGCTTTTCCTGGTGCTCTGGCGAGGAGACATACGTGGGCTGTACTGTGGTCCGCTCCGTGTCGCAGCCGCCTGCAGCTCCCGCTGTTCCCACAGCTTCAGGCATATCAACATCTTCAGCCCCTATGGTAGCCGCCACGTCATCAGTGAGCAGGTTGCACGTTACGTCTTGTAGGACGACCTCAACTGACACTGAGATTCCAGTTTGTGCGTGTGCCTGTTGACCACGGCGTTCGATTGCAGGGCCTGTAGCTGCCTCTGGAAATAGCTCTGTCTGTTCCCATTGCCGTTGCTTTTGCTGCTGCTGTTGCACTTGGGACCGGTCAGTGCTCTCCGACGCAGCATCATCCCCCAGACCGCCTGCAATTGAAGTGGGCCCACCACCAATGACGCCCGCCGCCTGGTTGTTGCGACAGCGCGAAGCCTCAGGGCTCCTGGTTTTGTCTTTTACTGAGTTCACTTGGGAGCGTCTGCGCCGCCTGCCTCCTGAAATGCTTCTGCTTGTTCGCCGCAGTCCCTCGGTGGGTACAGTGCCACTCATGAGGTCGTCTCCGCCTTCAGACAAACTCTCCGGAACGCCCCGACGGCTGAAGGTAGTCTTTGCCTGCTTGCGAAGCCTGGTAAATCCTCGTAGTGGGGCCCCTATAGGGGCCGAATCGCTGCTGCAGCTGCTGGTTTCGTTGTTGCTTTCAGACTCCCTGCTGCTGTACCTGCCATCTCGCTGCTGTTGTGACAAGCGCCTGTTGAGAGTGAAACGCCGTTTTGGTGCATCCTTAACTTCTGACTCGCCTGATGCCTGCAAATTGAGCCCTGCTGTCTGGGCTGCCTTCTGAGAACGCATGTCGCCCAGCAAGCAGGCGATGAGACACCGTGACCGGATTGACTCCTCGTTCCATAGACTCTTAAGACACAGAGCTGAGTCTGTAAGGCAACAGAGGAGGTTCGCTGTAGGGAACGCATGCAGCGACTGCACACACAACTGGGCCTCGGTACTCTTTAACTCGGGCTGCAGACGAAGTGACAAAGACATCTGGTCTAGCTTCTTAGCGCAATCTCCTCGCCTATCAGCTCCCGACCTGCGCAATTTCGTTTGCCTCTTGTTTTGAGTCGTCCCCTTCTTGCTGCTGTCATTGTCCTCGAACAACAACAGGTTAAGGGGGGCCCCTGCAGTGCCGAAGCAGCAGTCGTGCCCAACTGGAGTGTTGCGCCCCCCCGTTCTGCTGCTGGCCTCTCCATCTGGCTCGTCCCGCAGAGTCCAGTCCCCTACACAATCGGAAAGCCACACTGGCTCCTCTCCTGCAGGGTTGGGTCCACTATTGGGCTTTTCGGACTCCACCAAAGAGCTTTGGGACGTCAGGTGGCCCTGGGAAGCGTTGCTGGCTTCTTCCGCCTGGCCGTTATCAGCATTTCCACTGGTCTTCCAGTGCCAAGGCAGGCCCCGATGGTGATGGTGCATGCGCAGCGTTGTTACACCCGCCGCCCTCGATCGAGCTTGGCGCAGGAGCTCGGGGATTGGGGGTTTCTCGTGATGTTTCCAGAATTCGGCATCTAGTGGAATGGAATGCCCCGACAGAAGGCTGTTGCGTGGTCGACCGTGGATGCCGTGGAGACAAGTCCGACGAGGCGAACTCAGATGCTCTTCAGTCTCCATCGCAAGCTTTAGAGAAGCGTTCTTGTCGCCGGTGCTGCTCATATGCCTGTCCGACCAGTCGCTAAGTGTGGCACAATCTTCTTGCTCAGAATATGATGGAGGACTCGTCGCCGGGTCCGGCGTTTCCATCGGCCAGGCACCGTGAACCTGCTGGCTACGGACCAGCGTGTTGTTGCAGAGGGCTTCCTCCCCATCTCTCCTTGCCACGTGTAGCTTCCCCCCCTTCGCCAGCTGCTCTAGGTCTGCCTTGTACTTCGCATATTGGCGAAGTTGTTCTTGCAACGGCTTCACGAAATGAGGGTCATCATGCGAAAAAGGAGTCCCCGGAGGGCTAGACGACTGACCAACACCGCGGAAGTCTTCACTGCTCCCGTGTCGGGCACTTAAGTCTCTATCCCGCCCCTGATTATTACTAGTCCCTCTTAAATTGAAAACCCGCTGTCTCGGTTCTGGAGAGTTGCCAGTTGGCCCCAGTTGCCTCATGGGTCCCCACGCCTCGCGTCGCTGAAGTCGCGGAGACACCTCCCTGCTGCTGCGCCGGCTGTCGCACGACCATTGGTCCATCTCTGCGCGAATGAGTGCTGCTGGGTCACTGTCCTCCGAAGGCGGCAGGGGGGATGCGGCTGCTGCAGCACCAGGAAACGGGCAGAAACGGCGGCACTGCGCTCCTATGTGAACAACTTTCTTGCAAAGCACGATGCTGCGCCTTTGCGCCTCTCGGGACTTGGCGTGCTCCACGAAAAACTCCCCAACCTTCGCCTTCACACGGGCATCTTTCGTTTTCTTCTTTAAATGTAAACGAGCTTCATACACGCGAAGCAAGACTGCCAGGTACTGTTGCTGGGTGTAGAGGCCCACAGACAGACAGCCCACCTTGGCCGACACTTGCAACGACTTCTGGGTGGGGTCTTCCACTGCTGTTGCTGGTGTGCAAGTTCCGCCAGCCGCTACCTTAGTGGCCTTATTGTCTGCAGTCTTCTGAGATAGGTCAAACGGAACTTCTCTGCCACCTGCGCGCAATCGCCTGGCCACACGCCAACGCTGAAACGATTCGCCGTTCTCTTGCCCGGGCCCGGTGAATTTGATTGGGGACAAGTCACTGGTGAATTTCTGAGCGGTTTCTTTGTCGCTAAAAAACCAGTTCAAACGACTCCCGTCTGCGAACACGACCCAAGGCACACACATCGCATGAGCAGTTTAGCAGCAGTCGGAAACTCCCCATGGAACGTGCCAAGGGCTGCACACGGAGCAAAAAGGTGCTCAGAGCATTCTTCATGTGCTGCTCACCGCATGCCGCCCAAGGCCCACTGGTCGGTACTGGCAAAAAGGCGTCGAGCGGGTTGTCTTCACTGGCCTGAAGGCTCTGGCCCCCCGCTCCACGCGACTCCTTGATTGGACGATCCATTGAGGCAATCGCTCCCTCATCGCGAACAGCATTATCTGATTCTACTACTGCTGCTGCTGCTGCTGCTGGGGCGTCCGCCCCCGGCGACAGTGAAGCGCCGTCTGTGCAAGCTGCACTGCCGGCCTGATCATCAGCAGGTGCAGCAGCTTCAGCAGCCCGCTGCATCTGCTGGTGTTGGAGCTGAGGGTCCGGTTGGGCCATCTTCGACAATTGTTCGCGCACAGTTTTCCTCTGAAGAGAAGAGACCTGAGCCACCTTTAGTGTCAACAGCTTTGGATCTCGTAGAACGTCACTGTACGGATAGGAAGTGGGTATAAGAAATCGCCTGCAGGCCGCCAGCGAGACCAACTGCATGCAGACACCGACGTTGATACGCCCCACAGAGATGTCGATAGTTTGGCGTGGCAACTTGGTCGTTCCAACCTGTGAGCACAGCCATCGGCATACAGACACAACCTAGCGGCATAAAAGCACAGATAGTTCATGTGATAGCACGAAAACATATAACAGCAGAAGCACACTTGGAAGGCAACCACGCCGCCAGCATATCCGAAGTCTGTAGGATGCAAACGCTGCGTATTGGGAACATTCCTCCAGGCCAATGGAAGTTCATAAACTTTCAAAACCAGTTTGTTTGAAGCCTATGTAGAGGAATGCCAGTCTATTTACAGAATTTGCCAACGCTATGAAGCAGCCCGAGGAGGCGGAAGAGTGAGAGGACTGACACTGGCATCGAATATGGAAAGCACTGTGCAATCGGTAGTGGCACATGGGCCAGCGTTGGAGTTCGGGGCCTGCGCCATCACTGCTGCTTCTGCCGCTTCAAAGGAGGCAAGCAAAGATTGCGTAGCAACGGATCCTTTCCGTTTCATCACCGTCTGAGATAGCCGAAGTGTAGATACAGATGCTTTAAGGCCGCAGCATGAGGACGTGAAGCCGTGGGCCTCCACTGGTTCATAGTCCACGTCTGCCAAATGCACCTCTCTCGAGCCAAAAAGCCGCCATGGTCCCACCCCGCTGCCAGAGAGTTCCTCCTCATCCGAGTTCTCCTCAGCGCTTTCGGCGCCTCCAGCTTGTTCACTGGGCAAGGAGCCCCGAAGCCGTGAGAAAGTAGCACCGGAGGCGGCAGCCTGCACCCCAATGTCACTCGAAGATGGCGACAAAAGGGAGTCCGAAAGCGAAAGGCTCTCAGAATGGGGATCAGAGGGTGTCTGACTCCAAGATGAGTTCTTAGAGGTCATCCGCTTCTGAGCTTCAAATTCCCTCCGTGCATCCAGCGGCCTCTCTCCTAAAAAAGCAAGAGGCTTGCCGGTTGCAGCTGCTGCTGCTGCACGCTCTGCCCAGCCACGCTGGCTCCACCGTCCTCTGTTGGTGCTAAAGCTGGACGAGCTGCTACTGCTGGGGGTCTCACTGTCGCTCAGAGCCACTCTGCCCTCCCAGGGATTCGTTCCGAAACGTCCAGTAGCTGCAGCTGCTGCATGAGCGGCTGCCTTTGCTGCTGCTTCAGCATTCGCCTGCTGCTGTAGCTGCTGCGCCTCAAGTAGGGCGTCTTTTCTCAAGTGCGAAAGGACGCGTGAGTAATCGAGAGAGGAAAGGCGATACTTCTGTACTCACACAAAGAACACATACGCAGTCTAATCAATTCTCAGAGGAAAAAGAAAGTGAACCATGCAATGCAGACCCCAGGGGTGCCTATGCTTGCACATCAAACGGCAGTACCACAAAACTGCCGCCATCCGGCGAGTCTAGCTTACTACTGTGGCCTTCTGCACAGTCAGCCTGAGAGTACTGTCGACGTCTGTGCAATACCCCAGAGCGAGGCCCATGGCATCTTCAGTCGAAATCGGAAGAAGGCAATCTTTCTCTCGAAATAGGTCCCAAGTAACATAGTTCATCTGTGCAAAAATCCCATGCAATGAGAGCAGATACAGAGACAAATAAAACACTTTTTTTCTCCGTTGGCCTCTACAGTTTGCACATGTGCACATTCATAAGCTGAGACCTCACCGGAATGGCCTCAGCAAATGGGATAAGCTCTGGAGCAGAGACGGAAACCTCGGGGATATTAATCCATGTCTTTTTCTTTTCAAGTGGACCCCCCAGCTCCTCGTCCCACACTGTCTTGCTGCTGATGCTTATCAGCAGCGTGCGGTTTTTATCACCCCCAATGGAGCCGCGCCTCCTTGGTGCAGTCTGTCCCTTGGTAGTCTGCTTTTTGTGGGCTTGCTTGACCATATCTGCAAAGTGTTTGGCCCTGTTGAACAGCAAATGAATGTTCGAGTAAACCCTCGATGGCCTAATCCTGTGAGAAACCGATTGTTGGCTGGAAGAAGAGGCGTTGCGTTTTCCGCTGTCGGATTCCCGAGGGCTTTCAACCTGCGAAGCAGGCCCTCCGGAAACTTTCCCGCGAGTTGCATTTCGTTCTCGATAGGAAGAGCCCTTAGGAGAATCCTCCCTCTTTGCTGCCTCGTAATCACCGTAAGCATAATCGGCGTGAGAGGCAGTGCGCTGGCTGCAGTCTCCCCCACGGCCTCTCAACGGAGGCCGCGCCGCACCAATGCCCCACCCAACACGTGACGGCGGGTCCGAAGGCAAGTAGACGCAGGTGGTGCACCCCATATCCCCCAGAGGAACAGCGTACACTAGCAAACCAGGGAAAGGTGTCTGCAGCACAAAGGTTCACGATACGCAGGACACGAAGGCGAACCAAACCTCTCAGCAATTGTCAAGAAACTCCTATGATAGATGCCACGGATAGTGCAAAAAGCTAACAGTCGCGTGTCAACGGAGTGGGCTGCTGGAAACCATGCTCTGTACCTGCAGTTCAGGATTGTGGTGAGCGCGCAGAGAGGTCGCTTCGTCGCAAGGCTTTGCCTTCAGGGCGGCAAACCCCCTTTCAACAAAAACCGAATCAATAAATATGTCGTGGCACTTGAAAAAATCATTTCTCTTCTCCTGGCGAAACTTGAAGTCCGCGCAGACGCGGAACATTAGAGTCGTAGGAGGCAAGTGATTCATCTGTGTACTTGATGTGCCGCTCGGCGATGCATTCTGCGCTTCCAGCCTTTCTAAAAGTCCTAGCGTCCCCAGCCTGCTGAAGCTCCCTTTGGGTCTGCAGTTCTTTTCTTGCCTTTGCAGGTTGGTTGGCTCGGCTACATGCATGCCGGGCTGCACTAGGGGTAGCAGGCGGAGGCACAGGCTCGGCGCCAGCACCTGTGTTATGCCGTCGATGTAGAACCAACGTTTACCCCCGAACCCCCCCCGATCATCTCCTGTGGCGTCGTCTATTGTGCATGCGATGTCTTCAAACAGCAGCCTCTCGCGGTCTGTAAATTCAAAGTCCCCTCCATCTGCACCATCTATGCGGGTCTCTGCTGTCTCTCCCGTTGCCCACTGCATGCTCCCCAGTCGCTGAGGGCGGCAACAAGTCTCGGCAAAACGCCCGAATATTTGCTTCTGCAGCACCGCAGCGCTGACGCCGTCTCGCCAAGTCAGGTTGTCTTCTGCCAGCTGCGCGTTAAGCACACGCAAAAGAATTCCACTTTCCAGGAATCCCCACAGCCCTCTGCCCTCAGGCTTGGCATGTTCCCTACGTGTTCTTAGACGCATCGTGTGTGTGCCCACACAATGTTTCTAGTTAAGAGTTTATCCTTAGCACTACTATGCAGCAAATTCCAGGAAAGCAGGCAGTGTTAATAGCCACTACGAAGCCCGAGTACCGAAGGACGAGAGCAAAGATTTCTGGCCTAGCCAAGCAGCGTATTTACTCTAAAAAGGCCAATTTCGGCTCCCCTTGTTCTTGTCAACGAACCTGTCTCAGTTTTAGGATTAAATAGAGGGGGCTGCTGTTCTCAAAGTCTGAAATAAAACGATCTACTACTTCTCGCATTTCCGCCTGCAGCAACAAAAGGGAGAGACGGATGCGCTTCCACATCGTACGCAGTGGAGGACTGTGGAAATCAGACTTTATGAATATCAACGGAAAGCGACAAGGTCGCTGCGGGGTTGCAGCTATCGACAGGCGCTAATCGTCTGCAAAGCAGCTGTTCTGACCTTCGAGGTGAGCCGCCGCTTCCACATCTCCACATAGGTCGCGCATTCCTCCTCCCGAGCGACCAGCCTGAAGTCGTAGACATATCTGACGTAAAGCATTCAGTCTGAATCCTGGATCTGTGTATGTCGTTCAGTCCGGACAGAGCCAAAAAGGAGAAGATAGATGGCGAATACTCTGATCGCCAACTGACCTGGTGGGTCTTGCTGCTCCCTTGAGGAAGATGTACCAAACATCAATAAGCTTCACAAAGTTAAACAGAGACGTTAGGGCAGCAGAGGTGAGCGTCAGTTGCAAGGGCTTGTGTTCCATACTCCCGTCGAACACTGGGGGTGGTGGCTCTCGTTTCTCCACTGTATTACTTTGATTTGCCTGCTGGGGTTCAGCAGGTCCATCGGTGCGAGGGAGAGGTGAGTAGAGGCTAGGATCGTGGTGAAGGAACGACAATTCCACAGTCTTCCAGCTCTGTTTATTGACAGCGAGGTTCGATCCCAGGGCCCGCAACTCCCACTTCTTGAATAGAATATGCACTGAGAAAAGGTCGCGCAACAGGGAAACGCCACCAACGGGAAATTCACTTCCATACAATGTAAGGAAACAGTTGCACACTAACAGCATACATGTTACTTTTCCGAAACCCATCAACACGGCACACACACACCTCCCTATGCAGTTTAGTGAAGTGTACGGAAAGGCTTCCAGCTCAACTGGGCCCTCACCAGCGCGTGCACCTGAGGTCATTGCTTGACGGAAGAGGTGTCTAACAGAACAGCCCAAGAAATCCAATTCGATACCTCCCGTGCTTCTACACTAATGCAGGCTGTCTCTAATCTGTGCAACAGTCTCTTACACTGTCGGCGAAGCTTACTTTCAATCCCTTTCCTGGGGGTCACCCGCAGTGCATGTGTATTGTCATCTAGAAGATCCTTTATTTGTGAGGGCACAACTTTAAAGGCTCTAGAAGCCCTCAGTCCATCCAAAAGGTCTTCATCTGTGTCAGTGCTGCTTTTCGTGCTGCAACTGGAGTCGCTGTCTTCATTGCTGCATACAGTTGCTGCTGCGACAGCATTCGCCTTGGCAGCGGCCTCTGCTGCAGCTTCTGCCGAAGCCGCAGCTGTGCTAGCCGCAGCAGCTACACCTGCTGCTTCTTCTACAGTGTCCGACATAGGTGCAGCTGAGGATGAAGATGGCTGAGTGACATCGCGATAGTGAGGTGCACTGGTCTTCCGTATGTCTTCATCTGAGTGTAGGATGGTCTCAGCGCTTAGAGGAGTTAATAACGGTTCACCCTTCCTTGAAGAGCTTGGATGTGACTCTTTACCTGTACCCACGCCAGTAGAAACAAAAAGCCAGAAACACGTACCCTGCAGCTACTAGAGTGAGTGGGCGACAAATAAGCAGCTAACGCTGAATCAAACCACCTCCAACTCGAAGGGCTCTCAATACAAACAAAACTTCATACGCACCACGCCACCAATGCAGAAACCTCGAAGCAAGCGAGAGGGACACGTCCTTGTCTTCAATGTTTAGGGTTTCCTGGATTTCTCTGCTCAGCATATTTGCGAGCGCTCCGTCGTCTATGCCGGACTCTGCTGCTGGCCTCATTCGGTCTCGAAGGTGGGACACTGGCCCGAACCCAGATATTCCGTTCTGAGCCTCTGAAATCTCAGCTGGGCTACAAGCACTACCAGAAGAAGAGTCTGCAGCAGTAGGTGCTGCCTCGGCTGCTGCATTATCTTCTGTTTTACCCCCACCAGGGGAAGGAACACTCTTGGGTGAATCCGTGTCCTTCTGCAATAACTTTGAGAGCAGCTGCTGCGCCTCCTCATCCTTAGGGTTCCGCCGAAGGCGGCGTCGTAACTCCCGAGCCTGCGCAGTTAATATCACCATATATATATATATATATATA